GGAGAGGTCGCTCACGGCCGCCGCACAGAGACGCTCCACGACCCGGCGGCTGACACCCGGCCCCAGCCGCAGCGCCAGCCGGCCGTACACAGCGCTGGGGCGCCACCGGCACGTCAGGCGCCCGACACTGGGCAACAACACCACTGGCACCACCGGCGTGCTGTCCAACAAACCGCGCTGCATTTTTGGCAACTTCGATATATTGAGCCAGATCTGTCTGAGGAGCGCGGGCGGGAGTTAGCCGGAAATTACACCAACTTTCCAGCACATGCTGGAGCGCCAGCGACACGTGCCAGGATGTGTTGGGACCAAAACAATGCGGACTGGCGGTGGACAGAGTGGGCTCCGGAACTGGTGGCTCTGACCGGAGCTGGGGAGGCTCGCGGTATGGCAGACGAGAACACAGCCCATCTTCGGGCTACACAAATGCACTTACAGTGCAGTCAAGAACCGTCATTTACAAACCACGCCGTGAGGCGAGTGGTGGACACGAAGAGATATTTCTCAACCCTAACGCACAGAACCGAGGTCATTCACGGTAGGCGGACCGGTCTTAGCCGTTGCACAGGGACAAAATTTGGGTGGATAATCTTATCGTAGATGATCCCTTCGGCATCATCCAAGACAGCTCTAGAAAGTCAAAAGTAAACTACAGTCGTCGAAATGACATGAGGCAGGGCGCAGGTACAATACAAATACATACAGTAACTTAGTTCACAAATATACACAAAGCACATCCAGCACCTCTTCATAGTGCCTAAAACGATGAAAGACAATGCTTGCAAGCACCCTGACTTCCAGGCCTTGGCAAGCTTCGGATATTTACGGAAAGGTGCGGGGCACCCAGCCAATCAACCCCACGACCTTCCTCAATGCCCCAGTGTCAAAGTAACCTTTAATGCCAACGCTGGGTTAGCAGACGCGGCGAGTTATTGCGGAAAGGTGCATAACGCGGCAGACCGGACACGGAACGACCCCGACCCGGCTGCCCGCCGAGCCCACCATTGGCCTAATGGCCGGGCCCCAAGTTGACGGCACATAGCGGCTCTCGAGGCCTACGGCACGTGCCAGTCACCAATGCCAGCCCAGTAAAGCTACAAGCAGGCGCGTCAATCGCTCAGCTCCGGCGACACCGCGCTCAGAAGCTTGGCGACACCGCGCGGATGTTTCTGATCGGTGTTCAACCGCGTCACACCACGGCTGCCACTCTCGTCGCAGCCGCCGCCCGTCTGACCGGCGTTCACTGACGTCGCACGGGCAGAAGGCAGTGGGTGGCAAACGGCGCCCGTCTGACTGCTGCTCGCAGGAGGATGCACAACGCTGATTGGCTCTCGGTGACGTCGGCTAGACGGCGATCCGTGCCCAACGAAGGTTCCGCGGCGGTGACTGGTGTTCGCAGGTGCCACTTGGGCGGTGACTGCTGCTGACGGGCGCTATGCTTGGGCGGTGACTGCTGCTGACGGGAGCTGTGCTTGGGCGGTGACTGCTGCTGACGGGAGCTGTGCTTGGGCGGTGACTGCTGCTGACGGGAGCTGAGCCTGGCGCCCGGTGACGTCACGTGGGTGGTGATTGGCTGCTGGCGAGCGGGCGCGGCTCACCGGGGCCGGGCGTCATCAGCTCGGCGAACTCGAAGGACGTGGGCAGGCCGTGGTCCGAGCCGCTGATGGGCCCCGCCACTGCCCGCTCGTCCAGCTGGCCACATCAAACGCCGCGTCACGACAGCGACGGCAAAGGACGCCACGCCGTACCACGGAAGAACACAGCATCAAAGCCGCACAAGTCGCCGCAGTGGCACTTGGCGCAACAACACATAAACATAAAACTGGCATATGGCTTATGTGGTGCCACAGCGACACCGGGCTAGCAATGACACTGAGTTTACCATGACACTGGGCGTCTGGCTGCCAATGATAACAAGCGTTGCAGCGACACCAGGCGTCGGCGACACCAGGCGTCGGCGACACCGGGCGTCAGTGAAACCGGGCGTCAGTGACACTAGGGTGACGGTTACACAGGGCGTCGTGGGGCGTCAGGGACACCACGCGCCACAGCGATAACTGACGATACGTGTCTCTACCTCTCGGCGAGCCGAAAAGCCACGACTACCGCCACCATATTGGCAACGGGCGTCACGGTGACTTCGGGTCTCGCGCGGACGCTGGACATCATTGGCATAAGGCGCCATAGGGACTCAGCGGAAGAACATCACACAGGTCGAGGGTCGACTCCACGTGAGAGCGACACTGCGCCAGCCACCATCAGCACACGACGTCGCCGCGCGAGAGGGCGCCGAGGCGGCGGCGGCGGCCGACCCGACCCCTCGCCCCCGTCCAGGGGCGCCGCGGCCCGACCGACGGCGGCGGCCGACCCGACCCCTCGCCCCCGTCCAGGGGCGCCGCGGCCCGACCGACGGTGGCGGCCGGGCTCAGGTCGCCCAGCGCAGTCGGCCCGCCCTCAGTCCAGCCCGGCAGCCAGCAGCGGCTTCTGCAGCGGCCCCTGTCTAACCCGTCCCCGCGTCCCAGCCGAACATGCGCCCACCTCGGGCGACGGGTCGACCAGCGCCTCCTTGGATGCTGGCTTGCTCGTCTCCAAGTGGCCCAGTATGCTGCTGAGTGAGAAGTCACCAATCTGCCGGGAACGGAACCGTCTGCGCTGCTGAAATACTCACATTCAGCTCGGGAAACGTGATCGAAAATGTGCAAACCTCACACAAAAGCGATGCATGAAATATACACGTTAGAAAATCGCAAAATGTCACATGAACCAGGAAACCGCCCTGCTGGCACATTTTTGTGACATGCCCCTGTAACAGACGGACTATCGGGTCGCCCGGCGTGCCTGGCGTGGCCGCAGCCGGTCGGCCCTCTGACCTCGCTCCAGACGCGCGGGCTGGCCGGCGGCGAGGTCTGCGGCAGCGAGCTGTCGTACAGCGGCCGCGTTGGTGTCTGCAGCACAGCTGGGTCGGCGCCGCCCCGGCCGAACGACGCCAGGAAGCCTGCCAACATGGCATCCCCGGTCAGACGGTCAGACGGCGTCCTTCCACCGCGGCCTCACCTAACACGACGAGCGGCATTAAATCAGAACATCGACGCTCTTCTTGGGTTACAGAGCGACCTGGACGTGCACAAACAATGCTGCCTTACCTTAATGTCCCATTTGGATGGGCTGAGGTTATGTCACATGATTGGCCTGTGCAGCTGTGACCAGATATGGCGTTTGTAGGGGTGAGTGATCTGCAAAACTGGAGTTGGACTCGGTCTGTGTGACTAACCTGTAAGGCTGGAGTTGGCGTCAGCCTGTAATGCTGATTTGTAAAGCTTGAGATGGAGTCTGTCTGTGTGACTGACCTGTATGACTGGAGTTGGAGTGGGTCTGTGTGACTGTCTGCAGGGCTGGAGCTGGCGTCAGCCTGTAATGCTGACCTGCATTACTGGAGTTGGCGTCAGCCTGTAATGCTGACCTGTAAAGCTTGAGATGGAGTCTGTCTGTGTGACTGACCTGTATGGCTGGAGTTGGAGTGGGTCTGTATGACTGTCTGTAAGGCTGGAGCTGGCTTCAGCTTGTGATGCTGACCTGTATTGCTGGAGTTGGCGTCAGCCTGTAATGCTGACCTGTAAACCTTGAGATGGAGGTTGTCTGCGTGACTGACCTGTATAGCTGGAGTTGGATTCTGTGTGACTGACCTGTAAAGCTCGAGTTGGAGTTGGCCAGCGTGACGTCCATCAGCACGTCGGAGGGCGTGCCGTTGAGCGAGAAGTCGGTCTCCGGCGGCGGCGCCAGGTTGGCCGGACTGGGCGTCCGCTCCTCGGGGATGTGCAATACCGGCGGGCCGGCTGACGAGCCCGACTCGGCACAGGCGCCGCCCGCCTGCACAAACAGAGCGGCGCAGCTGAGCGCCGCACCACCGGCCGCCGCCACAACAGCGCCGCCTTGCCACCCGCCGCCGCCACAACAGCGCCAGCCTCGCCACCCGCCGCCGCCACAACAGCGCCAGCCTCGCCACCCGCCGCCGCCACAACAGCGCCAGCCTCGCCACCCGCCGCCGCCACAACGGCGCCAACCTCACTCTCCGCCGCCGCCAACAACTGGCGTATACCAGTCACACACCTACACCAGCTACAGGCCAACGAGGCATGCTTCCAATGCCGGCCCTTGTAGACACGACACAAACTGCGACATCGCACTGACTGGCTGAGAGACGGCCACTGCTGCAGCAGCCACACCTACACCCCGCCGCCGAAGGCGAGGGAGCGGAGGCAGATGCTCACCACAACGTCCTGCTGCGCCGCCACTGGGCGCCGGTCGGCCGCCGTCAGCTCGCCGTCGGCCGGCGCCGGTGCCGGCGCGGCGTCGGCGCCCCGCTGGCCACCGCCGCCGGTCGTGCCCGGGCCGGCCGGCGGCGTCACCTCCAGCACCGGCATCGAGATGGTGATGCCGGGCGTGACGGCCGTGGAGACGGGCACCGACACTGGCAGGAAGCTGCCAGCCGTCTGTGGGCGGCCGCCGCGTCACAGGTGCATCGACAGGCCGCACGCCCGGGACGGAACGGCTCACGGCGGCATCCACGGCCGGGGCACGGGCGGTGGCGGGATCACGAGATCACCGTCGCTTGGAGACGGCGGCATCCACGGCCGTGACACGGGCGGTGGCGGGATCACGATAACACCGTCGCTTGAAACAGCGCTCCACGCCGGGGTCACGGGCCTGTGGCGGGTCACGAGAAACGCGTCACTCGGAGACGCGGCATCCTCCCGGCCGGGCAAACGGGCGGTTGGGATCATGAGAACGCCGTCACGCGGATACGGCGGGCTCCACGGCCAGGGTCACGGCGGTTTCGGGATCACGAGAACGCCGTCACTCTGAGACGGCGGAATCCACGTCCGGGCACGGGGCGGTGGCGGGATCATGATAACGCCGTCACTCGGAGACGCGGCATCCACCGGCCCGGGGCACGGGGTTGGCGGATCACGTAACAACCGTCGCTTGGAAACAGCGGCATCCACGGCCGGGGCACGGGCGGTGGCGGGATCACGAGAACGCCGTCACTCGGAGACGGCGGCATCCACGGCCGGGGCACGGGCGGTGGCGGGATCATGAGAACGCCGTCACTCGGAGACGGCGGCATCCACGGCCGGGGCACGGGCGGTGGCGGGATCACGAGAACACCGTCGCTTGGAAACAGCGGCATCCACGGCCGGGGCACGGGCGGTGGCGGGATCACGAGAACGCCGTCACTCTGAGACGGCGGCATCCACGGCCGGGGCACGGGCGGTGGCGGGATCACGAGAACGCCGTCACTCGGAGACGGCGGCATCCACGGCCGGGGCACGGGCGGTGGCGGGATCACGAGAACGCCGTCACTCGGAGACGGCGGCATCCACGGCCGGGGCACGGGCGGTGGCGGGATCACGAGAACGCCGTCACTGAGACGACGCGGCATCCACGGCCGGGGCAGGCGGTGGCGGGATCACGAGAACGCCGTCACTCGGAGACGGCGGCATCCCACCGCCGGGGCAACGGGCGGTGGCGGGATCACGAGACACGCCGTCATCGACGGGACCCGCCGGGCCGGCGGTGGCGGGATCAGAGAACCGTTAGACGCGGCTCCCGCCGGGCACGGGCGGTGGCAGGGATCGGGCGTACTCGGAACGCGGCTCCACGGACGGCGTGGCGGGATCATGAGAACGCCGTCACTCGGGGACTGGCCGGAGACGTCAATCCCACAGAAGTCACCGGAGGAAACTAATCGCGGGAATCAGCACGTTCCCAAATGCTAGGACATCACACATCACGAGGCCTATACAGTGTACCTCGCAATGTGAAAACTGAGATACGAGTCCTCTTTCACAATATTTGCCTATCTTTACGACCAGCGATGTGATTGGGCGGGCTCCCAACAGAACACCACCGCCATAGTGCGGTTCGGTCGTTAGGCGGAGCATCACTGCCCTAATTAGCCTGGCCCGTCCAGCGCTGCCGGCACGTGTCCCACACCCCCGCAGTCCAGAGGAGGCGCGCCAGCCAGCCGGCACGCACCTGTGAGTCGCCGGCCACCAGTCGCAGGTTGACCATCGAGATCTGGTTGGGCTGGGTGCGCGGCATTAGCGGCAGCATGCGCTGCACCACCACCTGGCTCTTGCGCCCCACCCGGCCGCGCCGGTTGTTGTACCTAGGCAGGTCGCGCAGCTGCGGGCGGCAGCACTGCACGGTCACACGTACAGCACGACCTAACGACGTCCACGGCAGCCAAGCGCAGCTGCGGGCGGCAGCACTGCACGGTCACACGTACAGCACGACCTAACGACATCCACGGCAGCCAAGCGGCAGCACGGCACGGTCACACGTACAGCACGACCTAACAGCATCCACGGCAGCCAAGGCTGGGCGGCAATGCTGGAGAACTCATCTCACAATACCACAGATTAGGTATGCTCACTGCAGAATGGAGGCCAGAAATGTACCCTGATGCTCCCATGATCCTCACAGCCGTGCCACAGGCGGTGGGAGGGACACAGACACCAGACGCCGCCTACAACGGACGCGACTGTCCACAGCGAGCCCGCCGTAGACGTGAGCTCCGGCAGAGGGCACAGCACTGACCGCTGTCTCCAGCGGAGGCCGCATGACGCCGGCGGCGTCGTTGGCCGGCGGCGGCATCGACTTGTAGGCGGGCGCGATGCGCACAGGCCGTCGCGGATCCGGCGGCCGCACGCCCGCCGACAGGTAGTAGAGCTGCTCGCGCGTGCCGGCCGGCCGCGGCGCCAAACTAGGCGGCGTCTGTGTGCCGCACGTCACCAGCGGCCCCACGCGGCTTCGCTCCGTCTGGGGGCCGGCCAGCACGTCAGCCGGGTCACTGCCGACGCACCAGCGCGGCCAGCAGACCGGCGCACGGGGCACACAACGTCCCAAACAACGGCCCGGCACTGCAGCTCATGGCACCACCACGCAATGGTCTGCGGGGGCTTGGCCAGACCGTAGCAACGCCCAGCTCCATGTTCGAGGAGAGAGAGAGAGAGAGTACTCCGCTTTTTAGAAAGCAACTCGTAAAGCTGAAGTTAACTCCCTGTCCATCCCTCTTATCCCATGGGCATCCGTCATCAAAACGCGCTGCCAAGACCAGCTTAAAGTCAACACCCCTCCAACCGACGCACCTTGACTTTGGAGAGGCGCGCCAAGTTCAGCAGTTGGGAGAGCATCGAGGTGAGCATCTTGACCCTGCGGCCCTCGGCGCTCGTGTCACCGGGAGCGACCAGCGAGCGGGCGTCGGCCAGCTGCTCCGCCCACTTATGGTCGGCCGACTCAGTGTCTGGCACGTCGCCCTCGACCGGCTTCACGGACGGCTTCGAGCCGCCCGCGGTGGTGGACAGCTCGTGGCCGCTCACGTTCTCTGGCAGCCAGAAGTACTGCAGCCTTATCCTCTCCGGCCGGTTAACCTGACGGCGAGTCATGGCAGTCAGGTCAGGCCTGTCGAAGAACCGAAAACCGGAGCCGAGGAACGTCGCTGTGTGGACAAATTATGCACCGAGACAGCACATTATTCACCACATGACCTACCAGTAATGGGCAGTTACATCCAGCACGAGGAAGAGTGACTACGCCCAAGGGCGTCGTCTTCTTTCCTCCAATCGAGAACAACAACTCAGTCAGTTTTTGATCAGCGACTTGGTCGGAGAGGGCACCATTGGGCTGCCACCGCGTCGAAGCACCCGGCCGGCCTGTCAGCAAACCGAGTTTGAACAGTACTGTCCATACCTGGTCCCCGAGGCCAGTCCCAGATCAGACACGCGGTCAGTCTAGAAGCCTGCCGCCTCGACTCATGAGACAGCCCCCGCCTGGTGTCGGCGCCACTGACCATCATATAGAGCTCGCCGATAGTGCGCGTGCCAGCAGTCTCGGCCGTCCAGCCGGTGTCCAGTTCGCTGCGCTGAATCCGCTCGGTCTGGCGCCGCTCCTGCTCCAGCCTGCTGCGCTCCTGCTCCTCACGCAGCTCCTCCTCGTCACGGCGGCGCGCCGCCTCCTCCAGCTGGCGCCGCAGCCGCTCCCGCTCCTGCTCGTCCTCCGGACACCGCTGCTGCGGCTTCTCCTGGCGCTGCTGCTGCGACTTCTCTAGGCGCTGCTGCTGCAGCTCCTCCTGGCGCTGCTGCTGCAGCTCCTCCTGGCGCTGCTGCTGCGGCTCCTCCTGGCGCTGCTGCTGCGGCTCCTCCTGGCACTGCTGCTGCTGCCCCTCCTGTTTTCCTTGCGAACCCTCCTCCCCAACCGGCTCTAGCTTGCAGTCGCCGCCGGGTGGCTCGGCGGCCGCGTGCAGCTCATCCAGCACGTTCTCGAAGCTGAGCCGGACGCCAGCATCGCACGGCAGGAGAGCAGCGGGCGACGACGGCAGCGGCGGTGGCGGTTGCGGTGGCGGCGGCGGGGCCGGGGGCGGCGACGAGGACGACGGCGGGGGCGAGGACGGCGGCAGGGGCGGGGGCACGGGCGTAGGGAGGATCGGCGGGGGCGGCGGCGGGGGCGGCGGAAGGGGCGGCGCCGGCGCGGCGGGCGGTGCCAACAGTGTCATCCGCTCCTGGTAGCGCTCGAAGCAGAGGTTAAGCAGAGGCGCCGGCGGCGCGGGCCGGATCACCTGCGCCGACAGCTTGTAGTCGGCCGTGGCACGCAGCACCAGGCGGCGCGCCGGCGGTGGCGGGGGGTCGTCCGGAGACGCCGATCTCAGCTGGCATACACTGTCAAGGAACTACACCACTGGGCAGCCTTCCGACATACACTCATACACACAAACACACAAAGCATCCACCCCCACGTCCCGGAATCACCAACAGATCAAGCGGATGACATGTCCAGCTTATTTGGCTAGCTCACCCGCGTCTGCTGCTTATGTGTAGCTAAACAATCTGAAGGCCCATGCATTTTCTACGAATTTTCTCACCTGGCCCATACAACTTTGAGATGTGGCATTTGACATACACACGTGCTGACGAAATTTCACAGGCAGGGGCACCCTTTCGAACAGTCAAGGCCCCACACAACCCTTCATCGAACTTCTTTTGACCCTGTCCAGTGCACACAAGCGTTGCCCGTTACTGCGATCGGGACCATCGCGCAGCGTGGGTCCGGGCCACACCACACGGCCGCAGCGCTCCTGCTCCAGAGGATACGGCTCGGTCTGCGTCGGAGCGCCAGCGCTTCTCCAGCGCCAACAGCAGCGAGCGCAGCCGGTGCTGCAGAGGCAGCGTGGCGCGCAGGCGCGGGTTGTGCGACAGCGCCTGCACCCGGTACCAGGACTCGTTGTCCGCCGGCGTCAGCTCCACCTGCGTCCGCGCCGGCAGCCGCACGAACGGCTCCTCCACCGGGTCTGCGGCAACGGGGCAGACATGTCAGGGCACATGCCTTCACTGGGTCAGAGGCCAGCCAAACAACAAACATGTCGGGGTGCATACCTCCACCAGTGTTACATTTGCAAAAATTGACATCAATATCACCCAACAAGCATCCCTTCTGCATCTAATGGTTAGTTTTGGTATAAGCAACTAGTTTTTAAGGGTGTCCTTGATTTTCTCTCCATATGTATCACACAAGTGATCACAAACCTACCAATTCAAAATGCACTGTTGTAAATGCACAATTCCGCCATAAAAGCGCGGAAGCCATACACAACACTGGCATCAGCCTTCCGTCCCTTCGACACCACTTCACTCCACGCAAAAATAGTTTTGCATCCTGCTCTACCAGGGAGTTTGGCACCCTTTCCTGCCCCTCCTCAGCACTGGTCTGTGGTGACCGACCCTGGATCCTGTTGATCTTTTTGAGGGCGCGGCAGACAGGCGTGCGGATGCGGTACGTCTTGCCGCGCAACCGGACGGCCGTGCTGCCGCGGTACACCAGCTCGTTGAGGCGCTGGCCGCTCCGCTCGTTCAGCTTGGTGATCCGCTTTCGCAGCTCGCCGTAGTTGACCAGCAGGTAGATCTCCTGGATGTAGCGCTTCACGTCTGCAGAGAGCAGCGCGGGCGATTGACCAGGTGCCGCGAGAAACGGCGAGTGACGAGGTGAGGGGAGGGAAGGAGGGCAAAGAGGTGATTGGAGGGAAGGTGGGCGAAAAGGTGAGGGGGGGAAAAGGTGAGTGATGAGGCGAGAATAGTGACGATGGGTGACGAGGTGAGGAGCGGAAAAATGAGTGACGCGGTGAGGGGAAGAAAGGTGGGGGACGAGGTGCGGAAAGAGAGGGCAGGCCACAAGTTGCGGAGAGGACAGTGAGTGACTAGGTGCGAGAGCGAGGTGAATGACGAGGTGCAGAGGGGAGGGTGGGTGACACAAAGGATGGCACAAAGGGCAGGTGATGAGAAAATAGGGGGGAGGGCAAATGAGGAAGTGTGGAGAGAGGGCAAGGGCCGATTGCCTAGCACCGCCAGGCGCCCGCGCACCGCGGCGCTAACAGCGTGGACATGCCGGCGTCCGTGACGATCACGGCATGGTGCTCAAGGAAACAGCCGATGAGCCACTGACAAGTGTGCAGTCACATGTCTGTTGGCTCTTGGCCAGAACAATACACTGACACATTGGCAAGGCACCACATGCCATATGTATATGCTGAAAGACGTAAGTGGCTGGCAGTATGAATTTGATGGGAACAGTGATGCGCTGCACTGTACATACTGGTTGGGAATTGGACATATTTTGATATCTTGTTCAATGTCCGGTAGTAAAAGAAGCGGATCTGGTCACGATTTCTGACTTGGTCTGGCCTGTTTTTGCTCTTTTTCTTTGCAATGTATGTTTGTAAAGCCTCAAAGTTCTTGCCAAACTCATTTAATGCTTCAAAAAAAATAGTTTTATCAAATGTTGACCACTTCTCCCATGTTCTTTTAATCTTCTCTGGTGGAGCATCAGACTTTTTGTCATCCTCGATTGCATCTGAAATCAGAACATCGCACAGGATAAACTGAATGGCATAATTAAACTCACAGGGTACTTAACATTGATTTTGGTGCATCAGGGTTCTATGACTTTTAAATGAAGAACCCTCTGTGCATCCTTTGTGTAGACAGGACACACATGATCACATCTTAACACTGCCTTCCATACCTAGCAAACACAACCTAAATCACAGGCAAATAACCACTTGCCGCCATCTGAAGAGCGGCAGCGGTAGCCGCCCCAGCGTTCGCGGCGGCCGCCGCGTCCGTACCTCGGCCGCGTTTCCGGCAGCCAACGGGCTGTCTGGCGGGTCGAACGGCCGCCGGCCGCGGCTCTCGCTCTGCCTCCGGCTCGGGCTCGGGCTCCGGCTCGTCGCGCGCCTCGGCCAGCTGCTCGCGCGTGGCGCTGCGCAGCGTGGGCGTGTTGCGCGCCGGAATGCGGCGGCCGGGCGTGGTCTCGAGCGGCGGTGTGGCTGGCTCGGGCGTGACTGGCTCCATCAGGCCACTGCCACCTGGGGTCAGGCCACACAGCTGCTCAGTGGACAGCAGGCTCCACATCGGTCTGGTATGCCACCACACATGCCATCTGACATTGACTGCCTCATCTTCTCATGGTTCACCAAATGGTGCCAAGCATTGGTCTTTTGGTTTAGGGAATATACATGTTGCACACAGGTGCACAAACCCAACAATGCCAATGGCTACAAATCCTGAAACTTGTACCACACACATAGATTCTTAGGGTGTCTTAACTTCTTTGGACTTTATCACATGAACATGCCCACTGCTGTATAGTATTCAATATTCTATGCTGCTGACTGTTTTGTGATCTTTCACCATCCCAGGCACCATTTCATCAATTTGCATGCTCTCCAAACATTTCTCAACCTGCTGGCCATTTCAAGGTTCCTGATAAACTCTTGGGACTGATAGCCATGCCACTGTTTCCCAGCTATTTTAAGCCAACAAGAGCACAAAAAAATGCCTGTCAACACCATAGGCTGTATCAACTGAGGAGTGTGTGTGCTGGGGGGAGCGGAGAGGGAGGGAAAACCCATCCCACGATAACCATTCAAGGCAGTGAAGAGGTTCATATGCATATAGCTACACTGGGACATTTCAGAAGTCTCAAAGCCAGCTTTGAGGTCTTAAAGATCCTTTCTGACACTAATTAGAGTTATGATTACCATCCATGATCCCTGTTTCAATATTTCACAGCATTATAATATAAACAAGACAAAGATGAAAATAATGTGTAGAGCACACAAATAAAATATCAGTACTGTGGACACCATACAAAAATAATGCATGCTGCAAGGGAAGGTCAGGAGAAAACAAATGGTGCCTACAGATGCTTGTATGCAAGGACAATTGTTGCAAATATTACGATTAAGCAGCCCAGACTGCCCAACATACTTTCAGCGAAGATGACGGTCTGTTTCCTGTCCATATAGCTACATACTTTGACACATGTGGCAAATAAATGACTCAGCATTCAAGTTACTACACCAAAAAGCATTACAAGATTGTACAATCTTACACACTATGTGGGATATCAAGATTATATCCATTTTTATGAATATTTTTACCCCCTCATCTTAGATATAACTAGTTACACTGGCTTAAGGTATTCCCTTCTTCAAGATGCATTAAACATGACATAAACAATTAGAACCTGTTTGGGTATCAACTGAACTAGAGATGCAGACAAAATGAATGTTGCATGCCACAAGGAAAACAACACGATGATCCATTTTAAAGTTTTGTATTTAACATGCAGAGAAACAAGAGCATGCCATTACATACTTACCACCCATCAATGTCCTTTAATATACCCAATAGAACATCCTCTCCACACATAACATAGGTTATGGACAAACAGCCTAGCTGCCAAGAATCAATGGACCCACTCCACTTAGAAACATAATAAGCCAAGCCAAATCAGACAGCTACAATTTTAAGTAATCATCTGGTTGAAGGCATGCCAGCAACTAGGGGAGGAGCTCCAGGGGAGCTAGCAATTTGCATTTATGGGTTGAAAATGCGGCTAACGGATCCAGTCTTGAAACTCTCACGCACGAAGAAGTGGGAAGCGTCGTAGAACTACGAGGCATTAGCCGAGCTATACGAGCAGTGCAGATAACTACCGCTGAGGATACGACTTACGCCCGGAAAATGGATAGCCCCGATCTTCAACAATGCGAACGGAAATTTGCAGCCTGCTTCGAAATTTGTGCAACGAACCAAGCTCATCACGGGTAAACGCGGCCCGCCAAGGTCCGCACATGCGGCAAAACAAACCACGGATTACATGCACCACGATTCCAACGCAACACAAGTGCCGAAATAACTGGGATTATTCTTTACAGAAAGGTCATGAAGGTGGATCAGCGCATTTTATGTGAGTCTAACGCATCTGATTTGTCCCAATCCCTATGAAACGAGCTTTATGCATAAGCTGCATTTGTACTTTGATCAGAAGACGCAATATGTTTGGCACTTCTCTAAAAATGTGGTTAATGTGGCACAGTGTCGTCAAACGCGACGACTGACAAAACTCTAGGAGATCGGTGAAGCGCGATGCTTACCATTTCTGATTAAATACATGGTGTTCTGCGTCGGTGGGCGTAGACGGGGTCAGCGTGTGGGTGGATCCATGATGTTTTGTGTTGAAAAACCCGTAAGCAGCCGATTTATGCCTGAAACCACGATTATGTTTGCATTTTGCGTCGGTTATTGCTGTGAATAACGACAAAACTTAGCATATCATTCCCAGGTTGACGGAATGGTGGTAATGTGTATCGCATGCATTATGACAGCAAGGCGTTGGTGTAGATGGCATAAAGTACGATTCCAGTCATAAGAAGCAGTTAACGATAATAGTGTATTGTAATATATTTCCACAGGATGCTAAAGCTCACTGTCTAACTCAGCCAGATCTTGTGCACCATATTGGTCCAATTTAGCAGGGTGCTGCACCTCAGTGTGATAATACTGATGATCATGAGTCCAACATAATGCTTGTACCAGTGTTCCAGAGGAGAAATGTCCAGCTAGTGGTATGTAATATTAAACCACAGAAGGTGTAAAACTAACTTTATTATTGGCTTTCAGAAATGTATTTTAAAGAATATTCCTTGGGATTATATCATCACACTTGAGGGGAACCTTTGAACATGAGGAAATGAATGGTCATTAATTGAAATGTTTTCATTTGTGTCATTTTCACAAATTTTAAACTTAAATGGCCTGCTGGGCATGCTTTTGTATGTTGATTATAGTGATATATATATATATATATATATATATATATATATTAACCATGCTGCTGACCAGCTGTCTCAGAGATAATTAACACCACATGACTTAGTAATTGTATTCAAATTCTGGTAATCCTCATGGTAGCTGTTGATGGCTAATCAGGTTAACCCAGTGCATAAATCAGACCATTCTGCTATGTTTGTATAGGTGTCCTGCTATGTGAAATATGATTGGGATAGGTGATGAGACATTGCTGGTACTGCCTTATGATATTTTCAACCATCCAATGGAAACTGAATGCAGTCCATAGGATTGATTTACATAACATGTTTCACAGAATGCAGTCATACATTTTTTTGTTTCTATCGCCTTTTATATGGGTCAACTTATTGTATTGTATGACACCTATCCATCTATGATTTTACCTGATGCAGTATTGGTATTAATTTTCATCTAAATGCTTGATTTTTATTTATTTATATTGTCACTGATAAAAAATGCAGCAAACAGGATTTGGCACTGAGCCTTGCAAGCATACTGTTTATTCTAAGAATCATTATGCAAGCCACTGTGACTGTTAGGTAACTTGATTTTCAATGTCCATTGCCAATTATTTATTGGTTTTATCAATAATGATGCTGTCTGAATTCAGTGCAGCAAAAAGTATCTCTGTTTCAGATCTGCCTTGGCTAGACACCAATCTTCAGCTCAGCATCTGTGTCAGGGTTATCAGGGTAAGTGCTGGACATGCGGGCCATCATCACATCTGATTGCTTTGTGGTGGCCTTTTTAATAGCAGGCTATATTTTGAAATGTTTTTGTGAACCAGGTGTTGGTGGGTATTAAGGAACTAAAGTATGCAAGCTACTCTACATGATATTTCTGTGAGATGGTTCAGCGCATGTGCAATGGGAGGCATGCCAAGTATTCATGCTAGGATGTAAGGCATGCTGAAATTGCAGGCTAAGACATGCTAAAACATGTATGAAATTATGAGGGCATTTCATGTGAGATTTGTATCTGCTGACATGAGTGCCCTCTGCTCATATATGACATGAGCACCATCTGCTTAGATATAAATCATGCCTGGTTTGTGAAAATAAGGACTCAATGTTCATATCTTAAGCTATATTGTATGATCCATTGTTTATTGCACTAATTTGCTGATATGTAAAAGCAGCTTGCCAATTGCTTCATGTTGTGCTCCAGTGTAGCAGCACCAATATTTCGTCATGTCAGGTCCAACTCATAACGTCATGTGATTTGTCACATCAGGCATGACTATGCAATACAAGGCAAACATGCATTTCTCATTTCATGCAAACATTCCATACAAACAGCCAAATAAAATTATTCATGTGGAAATCACAGTAGCATACTGAACAAATATATAAGGTTTATATCTGAGTAGGTTTAGTATCCCACTTTGTCAGCTGGTGTAGTGTCAAAGCATTAGTTCTTGCCATATTGTTGGGCCTGACAAGCATTGGCTGAACCATAGTGGATTGCCCAAGTCATGACTTGTGGGTCTGATGAGGCATGTATGATTCCCTGTATTTCGTGCTGCTTCCTTTGATACAGCTGTGGTTTGATGTGAGGCCAAGTCAGCATGGTACCAACCAATCCTGAGTGGTGATTTGGGACACTGGGATCACTCATACATGTTGGTTGGGTGCAAAATAACCATCGCGGTTGGCCTGCCCCAAACCCCAATCATCAGCATCATAACATCTTGGTAGCGCTGCTGTCCAACAAGGCATGGTCAGGTGAATGGTCCTGGTGCCCGTCATTTTGTTATGTAAGCAATGACCCAACAAATTGTGACCGTGCCATGGCGCCAGTCCTTACCAGCTGATATTGCTGTGGCGGGAGGTGGCGACAGAACGACGTTACGTTTGCGCGGTTCGACAGATGGCGAATCCGCCGCCGCTGCCGCCGCGCATCCGTGACAACAGACAGTACCTGGAAGACTTGGAGCTGGCCTGCTCACTCAGCATGGAGACCTTCCAGCACGAGACGATGCGGCGGCGCGCTGGCGTCGAGAGGGGTGAGTTGGCCGGCACTGGCCCGCAGCTGGCTGCGTCTGGCACCCATCTGCTGGCCAATCCAGCCCCTCTGGGCTGCCTGTATTGGTGAGAAGTGGCGGACGTGTCCTGCCGCTCACTAGCTGACGAGCCTTTTTGAAGGACGAGGTCATGGGTGGCCATCAAGCATAATGAAGGAACATGGTAACCGTCCTTTTTTTCTCAATGAGCACCACGTTTGACAAATTTAGATATCGTGCCATTCCGAAGGGTTTTGCTGGTGGTGAGGCCAGTTGCCAAATATTGCTACCAACGCCTATACCATTTTGGAACCGGGTCCGGTAAAAGCCTCGCATCGCATCGATTCGAAACGCATTTCTTCGAACACAGACCTTTGTACGCAAATCTTTGTATCACGGTCCTTTGCAAGCAATACTTCGCAAGCAGGTAATCGCATAGCAAACTGTCGTACGCAAATAGCATTTGCATGTAATTACTCGGATCTGTATGACCCCGCACTCGCGCCACATTTGCGTGGGCATATGTACTCGTAGGCATGATTCTTTTTATCACATTTGTTTTCGCAAACGCAATCTTCCTTTGTTCTTTTTTGTGCACGTGATTCTTTGCATTGCAACTGTTCGTACAAGTATCTGCGGACCTGCTTTGCTAAGCGACGGAACTGATTCTTTCAAAGCGCATGAAAAGACCTGAGGCGTTCAATGGACGATCGGTTTTTGACAATATTTCCGGATGCATTTGGCATGGTTCATAGGATTGTTTGGCCGATACGAGCTCTGGTTGATGGTATACCTGATGGGATCCGAGTGCGATGTGCTTACTGCCAGCGACCTATGTGAGTCATGGGAAGTAAACTTCATCTGTAAGCCAGATTTTCGTGCAGCAACATGGGTTGGATCGCTCACAGCCTGAACACAAACTGTTCGGTGGTTGCTCGCCCCATCTCCGCCCTTTTAATACGCCTGCATGCTCGGAGGTGGCTGTTGCAACTGGCTGAAGAACTTTGTTTTATCTGCCTCAAAAAGAAAGCGCGAACCCATACCGGTAGTGTTAAGTATAACCTGGGACTGAATCACTCACAGGGGCGCAGGAACCGGTGGGGCTGGGGTTGTGGGTGGGAAGGGGGGGGGGGGGGGGCAGAATTTGTACAACGCCAGCATCAGGTGCGGCGTGGACCAAAACTTTTGCTTGTCTGCACTGCTTACAAAACCCTGAAGAAGCTTTATCTGTAGAGAAAGCGGCTCGTGCTGAGTAAGGCACGAGCGGTGAGCATCAGTAAGTTCTCGTGAGTGTAGTGTCCACTGCCCACTAACGCCGCCATGATAAAGTCCTGCACGTCTGAGTCCCGTCGCTGGGGATACAGACGACCCCGTGACGCAACTGGGGATACAGACGACCCCGTGACGCAGCAGGGGATACAGACGATCCCGTGACGCAGCTGGGGATGCAGGCGACCCCGTGACGCAGCTGGGGATACAGACGACCCCGTGACGCAGCTGGGGATACATACGACCCCGTGACGCAGCTGGGGATACAGACGACCCCGTGACGCAGCTGGAGATACAAACGACCCCGTGACGCAGCTGGGGATACAGACGACCCCGTGACGCAGCTGGAGATACAGCCGACCACGTGACACAGTGCAGTGGCCGGGGCGGCCGGGAGGACTGCTGGAGTGCCGGTTTCCAGCCGCCGGCGGGCTGCGCTGCTGCGCTCCCGCTCGGCCGCCTGTCGCCGGCTGGCGGTTGACTGGTGTGGGGCGCGGGGCGGGACAGGCGACACGGATCGGCTACTCGCTGCTCCTCCCCGGGCGGGCGTCACCGGTATGCGGCTGCTTTCCCCGGAGTCCGTAGGAAGCAGCGACGTTTAAACTTGTCACGGTTGACCGCGACATGATCAGCTGCGATATATAATCAGTATACACTGCAGTGCATGGCGATGTCATCGGGTGTCATGTGTGTTGGGCTAGCAGCTTGTCACACACACTCTGTTCAATATGTTAGCAATACGGGTTCGCGATCTGTTACTTTTCCCAGATCTGTAATGGCCATGTTGTCTCCACGCAGTAAATAGACGTGACATTTGCGCATTATAGTCCAAACACCTGTGTAATCGCACACCACACCGAGCTGCCGCCTACAGCTGGCGTTGGTCGGCCCGGGAGCCGAGCCAAACGACTGCGGCTCGTGTTTCAGAGGGTGCGCCAGCCACCGGGACGGAGGTGAAGCCACGGCCGCGGCCGGGCAGTTCTGCCTCGCTGCCGCGCTCACCAGACCCGCGCTCGGCACTGGAGCCGCCGCCGTCACTGCCGCCGCGCCGCCCGGTCGGCCGCTCGGCGTCGGCGGCGGCCGCACACGAGCCGTGTCCACCGCTGCCGCCGCGGCTGTACGCCGAACCGCCGGAGCCGGCTGACGACGGACCGGATCTGATCCAGCTGGACGGGCCGGAGCGGGCGGCGGCGGCGGCGCGGCTCGACCCGGCTCAGCTGGCGCACCTCTTCAGCGGCGCCGTCGCCGCGCCGCCGCTGCCGCCGCGCGTGCCAGCACACCCCTTCAACTCGGCGCCGCCGCCGTCGCTGCTGGCCGGGCCGCTGCTGAACGGAGCGGCGACGGCGGCGGCGGGGGGTCGGCCGCTGGCGCTGGCGGCGCCGCCCGCCCCCGCCGACGCCGGCCTGGACCTGCTGCGCGGCTTGCTGCGGAAGCCGCCCTGCGACGACGGTAACCTGATCGACCTGGGCCGGCCGGCGGCCGACGTCTCGGTGCGGCGCTCCGTGCTGGAGGACTTCGACCCGCTGTCGGCGCCGTCGCCTCCGCCTCCGCCGCCGCCGCCGCCGCCGCCGCCGCCGCCGCCGCCTGCGTCAGCCGAGCCGAACGGTGCCGGCCCGCCGCCGGAGGACGGCGACGCAGAGCTGAGCGACCAGGTGCGCCAGCTGCTAGCCTACAAGGCGGCCGTGGTAGCCGACGACGATGCGGCCACCAGCTACTACGAGCAGTCTGACCCGTTCCAGTACATGTACGGCTCGACGCGCACCGGCCGCTCAGAGTCGCTGTACGAGCCGCTGGCGCCGCCGCGGACCGAGGCCGAGCAGGAGGCGGGTGAGCCGCCGCCACTGCCGCCACGCCAGCAGCGCGCCGGTCCCATGACGCCCGAGAGGCCGCCGGCCGGCGCCGCCGACCCCCCGGCCAGTCGCATACAGGCGTACAGGGTGAGCTGGGGTGGCGGCCACGTGAGCGGGGAACCTGACACGAGCCACGGGCGAGCGGCACCCGATGCTTCTTGCATCTTCTCTTGGATTTGGTTTTGTTTGCCGGGCGCTACTGACCTATGCCATGCGTGTCAGCCCACTCGGCGCTCGGTCTGCTATAGCAGATGATGGGTCTGCATATTTATTGATCTATATATCTGAGAAGAATGGTTGCGTGATACGTTTTAATAGGCCATGGCACCCGTTGAATTGGGAATATAGGTGTGGGTGAGGGAATCTGAGGTGTGGGTGAGGGAATCTGAGGTGTAGGCGAGGGAATCTGAGGTGTGGATGAGGGAATCTGAGGTGTGGGTGGGGGAATCTGAGGTGTGGGTGAGGGAATCTGAGGCGTGAGTGGCGATTGGGGTGTTTAACTCTGACCTCACGTGGATGTTGCCGGTTGCAGCGGCGCCAGATGTCGTCGGACGTCATCTCGGCCGCCACTGGCATCAGAGTACGAAAAACGAGCGGGCTTTCCTGTGATAGTGACATTGTCGCCTTTTGTGATATGATAAGGGAACTTCGAGGTGAGTCTGAGCATTGTGGTCCTTATATACGTTGTGCCGAACGCAGCCGTATCGCGATGTATTACACACACGAGCTCGAACACGATTTATTACACACACAATCCGGTCATAAAACAGACCATAGGCATTTGACCGCAGATGAATAGAACTATTCGGCCTTATTAGATAATTTGTGTGCCCGGCGTTGGCGTTGATGGGGCCGATACAAGAAGTTTGTGATAATTGCCATCTCAGGTGAAACAAATATGAGCTCTTGAGGACGAATTCAACAACACGGCCAGCAGTCCGAATAAATGAGTCGCATCTAAGCAATACGTGTATGGCGGCTAAATTTCGGCCTGAATTGAAGTGGCTGCCGTTAAGCGGATGTCGTGGTGCCCCGTCCGTGTGACAGACCAGTACCCGGCGGACGACCGGGCCACCAACCCGGGTCTCATCACCAGCGCCACCATCGAGACCAGTCAGAAGCTGCACGCCACCGTCAAGCTGATGATCCACCACAGCTCGCGCACCTCGCCCGTCTGCTTCACCTGTGACAGTCAGTGACCGCGCTCGTGACCTGCCGACTCGCCGCTGGCGGTAGACTTCACCCGTCACGGCGCCGGTCTGGCTGGTTTTCGTGCTACCGATATCAGGGGAGCACTTCGTTCCGCTATCAAATTACCTCGATCAGTTGAATCACCCCCGATCATCTGAATCACCCAGCGGCAGGCTTGTGTATGTATCAAAGTCGAAAACACAGCGCGGTGGGACTGACGGCGATGATGTGACCCGTTTGGTATGTGCCCTGTCCGAGTTGGCAGCAGCGGGCTGATGGTGATGATGTGACCCGTTTGGTATGTGCCCTGACCCAGTTGGCAGCATGGCGGGCTGATGGTGAAGACGTGACCCCAGTCTGATGTGTGCCCTGTCCCAGTTGGCAGCACGGCGGGCTGATGGTGATGACGTGACCCCGGTCTGATGTGTGCCGTGTCCCAGTTGGCAGCACGGCGGGGCTGATGGTGATGACGTGACCCCGGTCTGATGTGTGCCGTGTCCCAGTTGGCAGCACGGCGGGCTGATGGTGATGACCCGACCCCGGTCTGATGTGTGCCCTGTCCCAGTTGGCAGCACGGCGGGCTGATGGTGATAATGTGACCCGTTTGGTATGTGCCCTGTCCCAGTTGGCAGCACGGCGGGGCTGACGGTGATGACTTGACCCCGGTCTGATGTGTGCCCTGTCCCAGTTGGCAGCACGGCGGGGCTGATGGTGATGACGTGACCCCGGTCTGATGTGTGCCGTGTCCCAGTTGGCAGCACGGCGGGGCTGACGGTGATGACGTGACCCCGGTCTGATGTGTGCCCGTGTCCCAGTTGGCAGCACGGCGGGCTGACGGTGATGACGTGACCCCGGTCTGATGTGTGTCCTGTCCCAGTTGGCAGCACGGCGGGCTGATGGTGATGACGTGACCCCGGTCTGATGTGTGCCGTGTCCCAGTTGGCAGCATGGTGGGGCTGATGGTGATGACGTGACCCCGGTCTGATGTGTGCCGTGTCCCAGTTGGCAGCACGGCGGGGCTGACGGTGATGACGTGACCCCGGTCTGATGTGTGCCGTGTCCCAGTTGGCAGCATGGTGGGGCTGATGGTGATGACGTGACCCCGGTCTGATGTGTGCCGTGTCCCAGTTGGCAGCACGGCGGGGCTGACGGTGATGACGTGACCCCGGTCTGATGTGTGCCGTGTCCCAGTTGGCAGCATGGTGGGGCTGATGGTGATGACGTGACCCCGGTCTGATGGGCGCCGTGTCCCAGTTGGCAGCATGGTGAGGCTGATGGTGATGACGTGACCCCGGTCTGATGTGTGCCCTGTCCCAGTTGGCAGCATGGTGGGGCTGATGGTGATGACGTGACCACGGTCTGATGTGTGCCGTGTCCCAGTTGGCAGCATGGTGGGGCTGATGGTGATGACGTGACCCCGGTCTGATGTGTGCCCTGTCCCAGTTGGCAGCACGGCGGGGCTGATGGTGATGACGTGACCCCGGTCTGATGTGTGCCGTGTCCCAGTTGGCAGCACGGCGGGGCTGGCGGTGATGACGTGACCCCGGTCTGATGTGTGCCCTGTCCCAGTTGGCAGCACGCCGGGCTGATGGTGATGACGTGACCCCGGTCTGATGTGTGCCCTGTCCCAGTTGGCAGCACGGCGGGGCTGATGGTGATGACGTGGCCCCGGTCTGATGTGTGCCCTGTCCCAGTTGGCAGCACGGTGGACCTGGTGATCATGCAGACGATGTGCGCGCTGGAGCCGGGCCTGGACTCGACCGACCCGGCCGACTATGTGCTGCGCGTGTGCGGGGCCGCCGAGTATCTGACGAGCGACAGCGCCCTGCACGACTACCAGTACGTCCAGCGGTGCATCAAGTACGAGGAGGACGTGCGGCTGACGCTGATCCACACCGACAGACTCACCGTGCCACTGGAGCGCACCGTACGTGCCGCCGCCGCCGCCGCCGCCGCCGCGCGTTATCGCTCATTGATATGTTGAACGAGGTTTCTTTTTGGTTTCCTTATGGAGACGCTAGATCTGTTGTGGTCATGCTAAATGTGTTCAATTTGCAGGTTAGCTTATGAGCTCTATAGAGTGATGATCATCATGATGAACCATAGCTGACTGCCTTTGCTTGATGTCCTGATGGTTGACCAACTCTCTCGTCAGCCTGCATGACTGACGTGTAACGCTCAACGCATGGGCGCGGCATGTCGCGCCGTCATGGCCAGCTGCAGTCGAAGCGCCCCAAAACTCAGAATAAGCATCGTCAGCTCGCATCGTTTCGGTTGACGGACCTTGTCTTCGCCAGCGTGAGGATGACATGTCGGACCTTGACCTGCGGCCGGAGAAGCTGGTGCCCCCCTCCACGCTGGACCCAGTCACCTACGAGCAACTCAACATACTGCTAGGTAGTGCCAGCAGAGCGACTTCATCTCCAGCATGCCTAGTTCTCATTTCCAAACACTGGCACGGAAACTACACCCAGAATCCGTTGGCCCGATCTGGTTTGACCGTTGGCCCGATGCTGTTATTCGCAGTTGTTCCAACTGCTTGTATTATTTTGTCAATTGCGTTTTATCTGCGTCATGTTTGACAACAGGGATGCCAGGTTTTGTATGAAGCAACAGCGTCAGCTTGTGTGTTTACCGCTGCGATGGGGGAGTATAGCTGACTGATTATTGTGTCTGTTGGTGTAACAGTGCAGTGTGCCTTCACTATCAGAGCTGTGGACCAGGAGTGTGACCTGGTTACCTGCCCCGACAAGGTGTGTGCAGCGGGAGTGTGTGAAGTGTGGGTGTGAGTGGGTTACCTGCCCTGACAGGGTGTGTGAAACTTGAGTGTGAGCTGGTCACCTGCCCTGACAAGGTGTGTGAAGCATGAGTGTGAGCTGGTTACCTGCCCCAACAGAGTCTGTGGAGCAGGAGTGTGAACTGGTTACCTGCCCCAACAGGGTGTGTGAAGCGGGAGTGTGAGCTGGTTACCTGCCCCAACAGAGTCTGTGGAGCAGGAGTGTGAACTGGTTACCTGCCCCAACAGGGTGTGTGAAGTGGGAGTGTGGGCTGGTTACCTGCCCCAACAGAGTGTGGAGCAGGAGTGTGAGCTGGTTACCTGCCCTAACAGGGTGTGTGAAGCGGGAGTGTGAGCTGCTTTCCTGCTCAGACACAGTGTGTGGAGCGGGACTGTGAGGTGGTTACCTGCTCGGACAGTGTGTGGAGCGGGAGCGTGAGCTGGTTTCCTGCTTGGACTGAGTGTGTGGAGCGGGAGTGTGAGCTGGTTACCCGCCCCGACAGAGTGTGTGGAGCGGGACTGTGAGGTGGTTACCTGCTCGGACAGTGTGTGGAGCGGGAGTGTGAGGTGGTTACCTGCTCGGACAGTGTGGAACGGGAGTGTGAGCTGGTTTCCTGCTCGGACAGAGTGTGTGGAGTGGGAGTGTGGGCTGGTTACCTGCTCGGACAGAGTGTGTGGAGCGGGAGTGTGAGCTGGTTACCTGCCCCGACAGAGTGTGTGGAGCGGGACTGTGAGGTGGTTACCTGCTCGGACAGTGTGTGGAACGGGAGTGTGGGCTGGTTTCCTGCTCGGACAGAGTGTGTGGAGCGGGAGTGTGAGCTGGTTACCTGCCCCGACAGAGTGTGTGGAGCGGGACTGTGAGGTGGTTACCTGCTCGGACAGTGTGTGGAGCGGGAGTGTGAGCTGGTTTCCTGCTCGGACAGAGTGTGTGGAGCGGGAGTGTGAGCTGGTTTTCTGCTCGGACAGAGTGTGTGGAGCGGGACTGTGAACTGGTTACCTGCCCCGACAGAGTGTGTGGAGCGGGAGTGTGAGCTGGTGCGCCGGGCTGCCTCGGATCCGGAGCAGACGCCGCTCCGCTCCGACCGTCTGGGCCAGGCGGTGAAGGCTGTGTGCGTGCTGCTGGGGCAACTGCAGACGCCGGAGATAGCAGAGGCCCTGGACCTGCTGACTAGCACCTGCCAGAAGATCACTGAGGAGCAGGTCAGCAGCTGGGTCGAGAGCCTCTGGTGGCTTGCGGGCGCACCTGCGGCTGGGACGCCTCGTAGTTCTAGTGGTGGGGCCCGGTATATTTCCTGACGTCAAGCGGTGAACGACTGGCCACAAACAAATAAATGCACTGATGCGCTGTTACGTAAGGTATTACGAGGCGAACTGCGATGTATCGTTTGTTGGGACTGCAGTTCAGGCGTCAGCTGGCTTGTAGATGTCGGTGCATTGGTCTCCTTCACCGTACTGCACTCTGTGCTGGTTAGTGGCGTTTTACTGGTGACTTCGCGATCCGGAAGGGACAGGTGGCCTTAAGCACCGCGCTATGACCCTGGCGTTCTCATGGTTTCAGAAGGGGGCTTCTGTGACGCGGTGATGTGTCGCCGTCGTTTGGCACTAACCGTGACCCCAGGTGGCGCGTTCGCGTATGACCCCTCCGACACGCCGTACCCGGCGCCCGCGTCCGTGCCTGTGTTGGCCGCCTGTTGATGCTGGCTGTGCGGTGTCGCGCAGGCGGCCGGCCGGCCAGACTTACGGCTGCAGCTGGCGCGCCAGCTAGGCCAGCTGCTGGACGCCGTCCGTCTACTGCTGGTCATGTACTGCCAGGCCTTCCGCACCGACTTCGCGGTCGTCGCCGAGCCGGACGTCGCCGCCGGTCAGTAGACTCACCATCCGAGAGCTGGCACCCCCGACGGCTCCCGCGGCGCTGTGTGGGCGCGCAAGGGACTGACCAGATGGCTGACGTAGTCACGGCTCCGAGCTGCGCTCTCGTGGGCAGCAGATAGCACCAAGGGACCGACCAGATGGGTGACATAGTCACGGCTCCGAGCTGCGCCCTCTTGGGCAGCAGATAGCATCAAGGGACTAACCAGATGGGTGACATAGTCACGGCTCCCAACTGCGCCCTCCAGGGCAACAGAAAGCATCAAGCTGGACGTTACAGGGCTCGGTCGCCATGTGTATGCCGTGGCTGGTGTGCGCGAATTCGCCGCCAGCCGAGATCTACTACGGGTCGTATTGCTGTGAAATATACCTGCTCAAAGGACATGCATGCGCTGGATGCTGACCACGTGGTCTGTCGCACGCTCTTGGTCTGTCCTTGCCCGTGACCGTGTCGCCCTGACGCCTCCAGCGGAGCGGCCGCTGACGGAGGTGCTGGACACGGTGCTGCTGCGCGTGTCGGCGCTTCACCGGCTGCGGCCCGACAGTCGGTACGAGCAGTACCTGGTGTCGGCGCAGCTGTACCACGGCTCGCGTGCTATCTCCCAGCCGGTGCTCACTCGGCCGCTCCACCCCAGCAAGCACCTGTTCAAGTGGGTCGTCTTCAACGAGTGGTGAGTCGCCAGCGGGAGCCGACGGCGCTCGATACGAGCCGCCGCCCTGCCGTCTGACCCGCCGCACCGTCCGTCGAATGCAGACTTTGTCAGAGGGGTGAATGACCTCTGGTATTGTTGGTGATACTCACGGGATGGGCACCGGCCGCAGGGTAAATGACGCCGTCAAGACAAGTTACAGCTCATATATTAATGAATCCTGTTGCCCGTATAAGGGCTGTGGGATTAATTATGGCTGTAGAACTTCGCCTTTGAGACGAATAGACTAGAAGGATTAACGATGACCATTGGATGTGGAACGATTGAACAATCAATGACTGCGCTGTGTTGTAATACAGTTTTGGCATAGATCCCTTCCCCATAGTGAACGAACGCCGCTTGAACGCGTTCACCGGTAGGCCGCCGATCTGCTGCTGCTCGGCCGGGCCGTACGGTCGAGCGTGGCCAGGCTGTGACCGGCCGAGAGGTTCGCCGGCCGCCGCCATGACGGGGTCCGCCTCCCGCCAGGCTGGAGTTCCTGGACGCGGCGCTGTGCTGTCTGCCGCGGGAGGCTCGGCTGGTGCTCACCGTCTGCGGCCTGCTGACCGAGCCGCCGGCCGACGCCCGGGACCAAGTGTGCATGCGTCAAGAGGAGCTGGGCTGGGCCGCCCTGCAGATGTTCGACTTCCAGGGGTTAGTGGGCGGTGTGAGCGCGCTGCCGTCCGCGCTGGTATGGAGAGGCACGGGTGGGACCGACCGCGCCCGTATGGGCGGGGACGGGTAGGTGGGAGAGAGAACCGAGCGCGCCCGTGTGGACAGGGACGAGTGGGTGGGGGAGGGGACCGAGCGCGCCCCTATGGGCGGGGATGGGTGGGTGGAGGAGGGGACCGAGCGCGCCCGTATGGACGGGGACGGGTGGGTGGGGAGGGGACCGAGCACGCCCGTATAGGCGGGGATGGGTGGGAAGGGAGAAGACCGATCGCGCCCGTATGGACGAAGGCGGGGGTGGGTGGGCGGGGAGGGGACCAACCGCACCCATATGGACGGGGACGGGTGGATGGGGAAAAGACCGAGCGCGCCCTTATGGGCGGAGGCGGGTGGGTGGGGAGGGGACCGACCGCATCCGTATGGGCGGGGATGGATGGAGGGGGGGGGGGGGGGGGATGGAGCGCGCTTGCATGGGCGGGATGGGTGGGTAGGGACGGGACCGACCTCTCCCATTTAGGTGGGGACGGTTGGATGGGGAGGGGACCAAGCGCGCCGGTGTGGGAGAGCACGGGTGAGTGGTGGGGAGGGGACCAAGCGCGCCCGTATGGGCGGGGATGGGTGAGTGGGAGGGGAGGGGGGGACCGAGCGCGCGTGTATGGGCGGGGCGGGCGGGTGGGGGGGGGGGGGGGGACCAAGCGCGCCGGTATGGGAGAGCACGGGTAGGTGGGGAGGGGGACAGATGGTATCAGCAGACAGAGGTCGTATCCCGCAGAAGAATGCGGGGAACAGAGGCCGTGTCTGGCACCTTCAGACTGAAGGTTATCAGATGTCACTGAAGCTGTGTCTTTGCGTCAGCGCTGGAATCCAGTGTTATAACATATATGATGACGCACGTTCAATTTGGATGCTGGCCTTTCACGATCGTTTCTCTTGCGACTCACGCTGAGTGTCCTGTGGCCGGGGCCTGGCCTGACCTGACCTGTGGCGGCCCCGTCGTAAGGCTGCTGGCCGAGGGCGGGTTCGTGCTGCCGCTCTGGCCGCCTGAGGCGATGAAGGAGCTGGGGCCGGCGCCGTTCCCAGGCACACACCCCAGCGCGGCCACATGCGGCGCCATCAGTGAGTCTGGGACCACGGCGGCCGGGCCGGGCCCGCTGCTCACGCGGCGCCAGGCTCGTCAGCAGCGGGCCTGGCGCCACCCCGGGGGTCGGCTGGTTCGACTGATGACGCATTCTACGTGTCAAGCTCATTGGGTGGCAGGGTCTGTTGGCCCCTAGGTATCCTCATAGGTCCCGGGCACGCCGCGGAGGAGCCGGTGTAGACAAGGTGACGGTGAGTGCGGGGTGGGCTTGTCAGCATGCCGACCAGGCACACACCAGCACTCACTATATGGATACAGGCTACCATACAAACACAGACCACCCGAGTGTGCGAGATCAGGCCACGAATGTGACACTTTCATTGCGGTGCCACTAAACAGGCGCCGGTGTGGTACTGGGCACGAATGTATCGATTGCACGGTACCCGCCTGTGGGTCGCCTGAGGTGGGCGCGAGCCGGCGCAAGAGCGCGCCGTGTGCCGCACCGCTGGCGGGCCTGAGCGCTCTCGGCCCGGCTGCGGTCGTGTGACACAGCTCAACCGACGTGAACGGACGATAACATCATCAGACTCGTTCTGGTGTAAGCTGTTACGGATTGCGGACAGCCATGGACTGCTGCTCCACTGTTCCGCTGTAACGATGGCTGTGCTGGCGTGTTGGTTGCAGTGAAAGTATGTAAAAATTGGGCGGCGGGGGCGCGCTGCTCCACTGTTCCGCTGTAACGATGGCTGTACTGGCGTGTTGGTTGCAGGTGAAAGTATGTAAAAATTGGGCGGCGGGGGCGCGCCAATGGATTGTGAAACACTGGGCACCTTAGTGTACCTCGGGTGGTGTGGTAGGGTGTCCGCACGTTACCAATGGTACCTCTTATGTCGTGAGTATAGTGCGATCCCGCATGGTCATTCTCCGACGCGAATCATCTGACCATACCGCTACATTGGTCTGTATTCGGGTGCTCAACAGGGATTAAATGCTGGTGACAAGCTTTAATTCATTCGTACTCATACCAGACCCCCAAATAGGAGTTTTCACAGCGAATTGGTTATGTTTATAACTCCAGCCTACTTTTGCCCCGACCCACCTCACTTTGTGCATTTTTTAACGTGTCTCTGAGGTCGTAATTGATCTGTGTGACTGACAGCTGTTGACCTGCCATCAATGGGGGCGCGGGTCCGGTTCCCGGCCGTGGAGAGCATTCCGACCAGTTCGCGCAAGGAGTTCTCATCGCTGGACGAGAGCACCCAGCTGCTGCTGCTCGACACCCTGGAGACGGACCTGTTCACGCTGTGAGTACTTGCGACCCGGCGCGCCATGCCGGTGACGCTGACCAGCACGTCAGGGGGCCTGTCGCTCCCCCAGCTCCATTCGAGACACCATGGCTGATTGTATACGCCATTAAACTTGATGTGCTATAGCGCCCGGGGTTCGACGTTCATCAGCTCATTGTTTGTTTTTTTCTCGGTATGATATGGGTGTGCTCGTCTGTGACGCCCTCACGGCAGTTAAACTAGTCTTCGAATACTCGTCGGCAGTCTCATCGGTAATGGCCGCCAGACGGTCCAGTTCTCACGGCGGCGGCACCGCAGGGCGGCGGCAGCTGACCGTCCGGTGCTGAGGGCGGCTGTGTCGGCGGCGGCGCAGGCCCCGCCGCCGCACCGCCCCAGCTCGGTCGGCTCTGCCGCTGGTGGCGACCGGGCGGCGGGAGCTCCCCGGGGGCTTGCACGCCCGGGACGCCTGCTGTGGCCGGCGCGCCCCAGTGACGGGCGCCTGACGTCCCCTCCGACCGGCAGGGTGCCGGCGGACCGGCGCGAGATCCTTTGGGACCGGCGCCACTACCTGTACGAGGAGCCGTCGGCGCTACCGCGCGTGCTGCTGGCCGCCCACAGCTGGGAGTGGGCCTGCCTGCCGGACCTGCACGCCATGGTGGCCGGTTGGAGCCCGCTGCTGCCCGTGGACGCCATCCAGCTGCTGCTGCCCAGGTCAGGCCTGCCCCCACCCCCATCCTCTGACCCAGTGTCATGTGGCGATGGTGGTGCCGTGTGGTTACCCTGTGTCGTGTAGTGACGATGGTGCTGCATGTTGACCCAGTGTCGTGCGATGGCGGTGGTGCGGTGTGTTAACGGTGTCGCCGTATGTTAACCTAGTGTCGTGTGGTGACGTTGGTGCTGTGTGCTGACCCAATGTCGTGAGGTGAATTTGGTGCTGTATGTTGACCCAATGCCGTGTGCTGACGTTGGTGCTGTATGCTGACCCAGTGTCGTGTGGTGACGCTGTTGCTGTGTGTTGACCCAGTGTCGTGTGGTGACGCTGGTGCTGTATGTTGACACAGTGCCGTGAGGTGAATTTGGTGCTGTATGTTGACCCAATGTCGTGTGGTGACGCTGGTGCTGAACGTATCACGTGGTGACAGTGTTGCCGCGTGTTGACCCAGTGTGATATGGTGACAGTGTTGCTGTTTGTGGACCCAGTGTCTTGCGGCGACAGCGTTGCTGTGTGTCGACCCAGTGCCGTATGGTGACGGGTGTGGGGACGGTGATGCTGTGTGTTGATGGTATTGTCGTGTGTCGACTCAGTGCCGCGTGGTGATGGGTGTGGTGACGGTGGTGCTGTGTGTTGACCCAGTGTCGTGTGGTGACAGTGGTGCCGTTCGTTTACACCTGCGCCGTGTGTCCGCCCAGCACCATGCGGTGGCACTGTTACCGTGTGGTGACGCTGGTGCCCGTCGGCCGCAGCTTCCCGGACGTGGTGGTGCGTGGTCAGGCGGTGCGGTGGCTGCAGTCTATCACCAGTGACGAGCTGGTGGACTACCTGCCGCAGCTGGTGCAGGCCGTCAAGCACGAGGCGTGGGATCGCTCCGTGCTGGCCCGGTGAGTGGACCAACCGACCTGCCGGCTGCCGGCTGCCGGCAGGTGACGGCCGCCCAGCCGGCGGCCGCTCGGCGCGCGGCGGGGGCCCCAGCTGGGCGCCCAAATCTGCTGTTGGGCCAGACCTGTCGGTGCAGTTTGCTGACATCGATGGGGCTCGAAGTGTACTGTCCGGTTATGTGCTCGTCTGCAAACACTCGCCGACCGCTCTGGTTAAAGTGCGGCATGGCCGTATGCGCGCCTGCCTTTTGGCTCGTGATGGTGGTCTGAACTTGGCGAGGTCACCACGGAGCGGTGCTGACCTCCGCTGGGGTCCGACTGTCTGCGTTTGACGGCGGTGCACCGTCTGCGCAGGTTCCTGATGGAGCGGGCTCTGACGTCGCCGCGTGTGGCGCACCATCTGTACTGGCTGCTGCACCTGTGCCTGCCAGCCGATGGCGGTGAGGTGTCCGTCTCCGAGGCCCGCTACCTGCGCCGCCTGACTGTGCTGCAGCGCGCACTTAGCGCCATCTGCGGACGCAACATGCAGAAGCGCTTCCTCTCGCAGGAGGCGCTGCTCAGGGTGAGGGCGCCGCCGTCGCCGCCGCGTGCGCATGTGATCTCAACAGTGGCCGTCTCATGTTGCAGTCTGCGTGACAGGCTGTCTGTCAGCGAGCCCTGGCCGCCGCTGTCTGGCCAGCGATCCCTGGCCGCCACTGTCTGGCCAGCGATCCCTGGCCACCACTGTCTGCCAGCGATCCCTGGCCGCCGCTGTCTGGCCAGCGATCCCTGGCCACCACTGTCTGTCAGCGATCCCTGGCCGCCACTGTCTGTCAGCGAGCCCTGGCCGCCACTGTCTGGTCAGCGAGCCCTGGCCACCACTGTCTGGCCAGCGAGCCCTGGCCACCACTGTCTGGTCAGCGAGTCCTGGCCACCACTGTCTGGCCAGCGATCCCTGGCCGCCGCTGTCTGGCCAGCGATCCCTGGCCGCCACTGTCTGTCAGCGAGCCCTGGCCGCCACTGTCTGTCAGCGAGCCCTGGCCGCCACTGTCTGTCAGCGAGCCCTGGCCGCCGCTGTCTGGTCAGCGAGCCCTGGCCACCACTGTCTGGTCAGCGAGCCCTGGCCACCACTGTCTGGCCAGCGATCCCTGGCCGCCGCTGTCTGGTCAGCGATCCCCGGCCACCACTGTCTGTCAGCGAGCCCTGGCCGCCACTGTCTGGTCAGCGAGCCCTGGCCACCACTGTCTGTCAGCGAGCCCTGGCCGCCGCTGTCTGGCCAGCGATCCCTGGCCACCACTGTCTGGCCAGCGATCCCTGGCCACCACTGTCTGCCAGCGATCCCTGGCCACCGCTGTCTGGCCAGCGATCCCTGGCCACCACTGTCTGTCAGCGATCCCTGGCCGCCACTGTCTGTCAGCGAGCCCTGGCCGCCACTGTCTGGTCAGCGAGCCCTGGCCACCACTGTCTGGCCAGCGAGCCCTGGCCACCACTGTCTGGTCAGCGAGTCCTGGCCACCACTGTCTGGCCAGCGATCCCTGGCCGCCGCTGTCTGGCCAGCGATCCCTGGCCGCCACTGTCTGTCAGCGAGCCCTGGCCGCCACTGTCTGTCAGCGAGCCCTGGCCGCCACTGTCTGTCAGCGAGCCCTGGCCGCCGCTGTCTGGTCAGCGAGCCCTGGCCACCACTGTCTGGTCAGCGAGCCCTGGCCACCACTGTCTGGCCAGCGATCCCTGGCCGCCGCTGTCTGGTCAGCGATCCCCGGCCACCACTGTCTGTCAGCGAGCCCTGGCCGCCACTGTCTGGTCAGCGAGCCCTGGCCACCACTGTCTGTCAGCGAGCCCTGGCCGCCGCTGTCTGGCCAGCGATCCCTGGCCACCACTGTCTGGCCAGCGATCCCTGGCCACCACTGTCTGCCAGCGATCCCTGGCCGCCGCTGTCTGGCCAGCGATCCCTGGCCACCACTGTCTGTCAGCGATCCCTGGCCGCCACTGTCTGTCAGCGAGCCCTGGCCGCCACTGTCTGGTCAGCGAGCCCTGGCCACCACTGTCTGGCCAGCGAGCCCTGGCCACCACTGTCTGGTCAGCGAGCCCTGGCCGCCGCTGTCTGGCCAGCGAGCCCTGGCCTTGGCTGCCTGGCCGGTGTTGACCTCACCGTCAGCTGAGTCTGGGGTTCAAATGGAGTGTGAAGGCTGCACCTGAATAGTTGTCATTGGAAATGGCGTGATTGAATTTGGTAAAAATCACTCATCCAGATATACCCCTGACTCCTGACCATGGGTCTAACGCCTGGGCTTCGTCACTACACTCTCGCCGGCGTGTTTCCGGCGTCACGCGCCGTCGGCGCGGCGGACCTCCACCCTGAGCCGTGCCGTTCGCTGTCAGGGCCTGTACGAGGCGGCCGAGCGTGTTAAGTGCAGTCGCGAGTCCCAGCGGCTGCGCGAGCTGACGAGCGCGCTCGAGCTACTGCACTTCTCTCTGGAGGCGGCGCCTACCTCGCTGCCACTGGACCCGGCGCTCGAGGTACGCGGCATCGACGTGGCCACGTGCGACTACTACCCATCAAACACGCTGCCGCTGCGCGTGCAGTTCCGCAGCGCCGAGGGCGACCACCGCCCGGTGCCGGTCATCTACAAGGTGGGCGACGACCTGCGGCAGGACATGCTCACCATCCAGATGATCCGGATTATGGACAAGCTCTGGCTGAAGGAGGGGCTGGATCTGCGCATGGTCACCTTCAACTGCGTACCCACCGGCCACTGTCGAGGTGAGCAACTATTGCGGCCGGGATAGCTGCCCGTCAGCCGGTCACCGGGACAGCTGCCCGTCAGCCGGTCACGGGGACAGCTGCCCGTCAGCCGGTCACCGGGGCAGCTGTCCGTCGACCGGTCACCGGGACAGCTGCCCGTCAGCCGGTCACCGGGACAGCTGCCCGTCAGCCGGTCACCGGGACAGCTGCCCGTCAGCCGGTCACCGGGACAGCTGCCCGTCAGCCGGTCACCGGGACAGCTGCCCGTCAGCCGGTCACCGGGACAGCTGCCGTCAGCCGGTCACCGGGACAGCTGCCCGTCAGCCGGTCACGGGGACAGCTGCCCGTCAGCCGGTCACCGGGGCAGCTGTCCGTCAGCCGGTCACGGCATCGGCCACTGCCGATCGTGCGCACCGTGCCAAGCCAGCTGTAACGACTGGCGTGAAATGTCACGCGTTAGGCGGCAGCGCAGTCCCGCTATTCCATAGCTTTCCTTCACATATGCCAGTTTCGAATGCATTGCCTTGCTATTATGGGATATTAGGTGAAGTGGAGACGGATTTGAGGCGCCGCAACACCCTCTTAACTCCGGTACGAAGCCTACGGAAGACACTCAACACTCGCCTGGCAAGCCGTTTGGGTACCCCCGCTCGGATAGGGGCGGGGGTCAGTTTGACCGTTTGAGATCTCAAGGACTAAAAAAGCTAGATACACTAAATTAACAGGGTGTTGTTGGCCTGTACATGAACTCATTGAGGTTAAAGTTTGAGGTTCCTAGGTCACGATCTTTGGGTCAAATAATTTCAAACAAGGTCAAACTCCAAGTTTGCCTCAAAAGTGTCCCCAGAACCTAGATACCTATTCTTAGCAACAATGCAAATGCTCGTTCAAGGTCACTGACCTTGTTTGACCTTTTGAAGGTCATGGTCACCAAAATCACACAAGACTGGCTTGGGTTTTACATTTGGATAAGCGACAAAGGTTATGCTAGGCAGTATGTTTCTAAAAATGAAATGTTGACCTGGGTCATTTTTGGTCTGTGACCTACTTTGACATTAAATAAGTCCATGGAATGTAGGTAATGCTGATTCTGTTAATACATTTAAAATGAGAACCAAAAACTACCCCATACAGCAAGCCCTTGAGTAATAAAACGGGTTGGTTTGGCCTTAGTCTGACCGTCATACGTGACCGTAGGCCAATGGAATTTGGATACCCTAGAAATTGACTTCACTAAATCCATGGGGTGACTTTGACCCGCCGCAGGTCAGTGACCGTACAAGGTACATCAAACTTTTTGATACCACACGATTCGTTATTTAATCTTCTACAGCTATGCAAATTTTGCGCGGTTACGTCGCGCCGTTCCGAAACTATTTCGGAAAAACCTCGGGGGTCACCCCACCCCGAGCGTGTGTTAATACAGAGATGAAATCTGTCGGGGGGGGGGGGGGGGTTCTCTTTTGCGATCCGCAGTGACCAAACACAACTGAGCAGTGAGTGACCGTGAACACCAGCTGCGATGCTCTGTTGGTGTGCTGACCTGACGTCCCCCGCCCCAGGCATGATCGAGATGGTGCAAAACGCTGAGACTCTGCGGAAGATCCAGGGCGAGCAGGGGCTGGCGGGCGCGTTCAAGGACATGGCCATCGCCGAGTGGCTGGCCAAGCACAACCCGTCGGAGCTTGAGTACGAGCGGGCCGCGCAGAACTTCACGGGTGAGCAGCGGCCGCACCTCCGGGGCAGCGGCTGCACCTCTGCAGCAGCGGCTGCACCCCGCAGCGGCGACCGCACCCCGCAGCGGGGCCGCGCACCCACGGACAGGCACACACAAGAATGTTGTGTTCCGTTGGAGGGATCAAGCCAACCGAAGAGAATGTTTTTGGGTGGCACGGGCAAATGTAACATCTCCGCCAGGCGCGCATGGCGCTGTTGTTTTGCTAGCCGTGCGTTTTTGTCTATTGCAATTCATCCCAGAGTTGAGCTTCATTTGGGCATATTGGTGGGGAGTACGTTAGGGTACACTGACCCCGGCGTTCGCTCGACACGAAGCTAAAACTTGTAGGTGGCATGTAACGAAGGGGTTAACTGGTGACAAAACAGATATCATTGACCAAGAGATGCTTTAACTTCCTGCTTGACACGCACGCACGCGCGCACGCACGTGGCCGGTCGGCGGGCGGCTGCCGGCCGGGTGTGCGGCCCCTAACCGGGATCGTCCGTCTGTTCCGCAGCCTCGTGTGCCGGCTACTGTGTGGCCACTTACATTCTGGGCATCTGCGACCGGCATAACGACAACATCATGCTGCGCTCCTCTGGTCACGTCTTCCACATCGACTTCGGCAAGTTCCTGGGCGACGCGCAGCGGTTCGGCGCCTTCAAGAGGTGAGCAGTTGCGTGCTGGTAGGCCTCTGGTGATTACCGGCCTCCGAGCTTGCTGGGTGCTCACCAAAGATCCGCGTGGAGATGTGGTGAGCTGTCGGACATGTGCTTTGCTGAACACAATATCCAGCATAGACTGCCATCGACCTGGCCACCATTGAACTCTGCTGGTTTGTGCGACGCGGGGCGAGATGTACACTGTGTGTGACGTGTTTGCTGATTAACCACGGGATCTTTTGGGTGTATTCTGTTCTCCCCTGGTTTGCACAGCAGGGTGGGAGTGATGTGCACTGTGCGGAGCAAATTTGTTGATACACGGCTGTATCCCCTGGCCTTGATGCACAATTATGTGGTCCGGAGTTTCTGCGACCCACGATCCATTTTATTTGTCTTAAAGGTTTTCGGCTCGCTGTCTGTTTTGCGCGCGCTCTGAGCTGGATCTGATCCAGATTTTATCAGAATGGGCCTAGGAAAGCGCGCTCGATCGGGGCTCACAGGATCTCAAAGATCTGTACATCACGATGGATCCCATTTCTTACAATAGTTCTCAAAGCTCAGTCCGCGGAATGGACCGCTTGCTGCTCAGGGGTGCAGTTATGGAAGGATCAAACAACTGATTACAAAGTAGACGATGGCCCGCAAAACCATGGATGGCACTTTGTTATGGCTACAAGCCAGAGTGCAGGCCAGTGTTTTGCTTCAGCTGTAGCAAAACTAAGTGAATGGTTTGACCCGGCCGAGCTCGGCCGTCACGCTTGCTAGGTCATGCCCTTTTAACCTGTATGGGTGAGGAGTGTAGCCAAAGTTACGTTTGTACGTAGATCATGAGGTGAATATATCCTTGCGACATCGCAATATCACTCGGATGTTACTTCCCCAATTCGAATAGCACGGAAAATACACAGTTTTAGACTTCAAAAAGTTGAAGGACACAGCCCGAAATTGGGCCGAAGTGCAACGACCTTGTGCGCGAAAGTGACATATTCCGATGAAAGAGAAGGCAGGAGATTGTGTGCTACATTAAGAGCAAGCAATTGTGATAGCCATCTTTGCCGACGGAAAACGATTTTGGCGGGCGAATGAATGCTGTTCATGATGACCAATGGACATTGACCGATATTGATAGCGCAAACGGTATATTTGGGGTGGGTCTTGCGAATTTCCGTCTCCTCTGGACGCTCCACGTGCTTCTAAAAACACCCTTAAAATGCTCCCCAAACTCAGAACTTGTTTCCTAATTCAACCCTCTGACCATCTGTGGTCCAAGATTCTGTCGCACGGTGAAATTTCAGGACGCATGCGCGTTGTGATACGCCTCGTTTTGTAAGTGGCTCGTCCCACGTGAGGATGCTGAGTGAATTCCTACAAAAGCCCACATTTTCGCTCGATTGCGGCTGTTGCCGCACCTCTACTTTGGCATTTGTCTGCGTCTGCGATGTGGATGCACGCAGTGTAGCCCTGGCACTCCCACCCTAGTTCAAAAGCGACTGTAGCTCGCTGAGCCCTGGCGGCTGAACCGGCTTCGCTGACACATGCCAGTGACATGACATGACATGACACATGCAGTTGTCTGTGGTGTTGTTGCCACCAGTCTGTAGTGATGTGGGTTGGAGCTGACGGGCAGTGTATCGGAGTTGCTGGGTGCACTGTTGACGCGTGCTGACTGTGGGCGCCTCTCTAGGGACCGGGCGCCGTTCGTCCTCACCTCCGACATGGCCTACGTCATCAACCGGGGCGACAAGCCGTCTACAAGGTTCCAGCACTTCGTGGACCTCTGCTGCAGTGGCTTTAATATCCTCCGCCGGCACGGCAACATTTTCCTCAACCTGTTCGCCCTGGTGAGTACATCGCAGAGCAGCTGAAATCGACAACGCGAGCACTGGCGATGAACTGCTCTGGCCGGCTACGCGCGGATCGTGAACAATAAGGCCGCACAATTGTTAAAAATGTTGTATCAGCCATCTTACGTAGTTAATCCTGGTGTGGCTTTCATCGACCGGCACCCCGCTGCTTCTGCGGACGCTATCGGCTCCATCCAGCGGGCTTTGTACCGCTGTACCGCTGACCCGCTATCCCCAGATGACGTCGTCTGGCATCCCCGGTGTGTCGCGGGACGCCATCGACTACATCCAGCGGGCGCTGCTGCCCAACATGGTGGAGCACGAGGCGGCGGCCGTGTTCGCGCGCATGATCCAGGAGAGCCTCAAGTCGTGGTTCACGCCCGTCAACTTCTTCCTGCACAGCCTGGCGCAGCTCCGCTTCGCCGGCGAGCACAACGGCGACCAGCTGCTGAGCTTCGTCCCCAAGCGCTACACGTGAGCGGCTGCGGCGCTAGCGGCCGTGGGCCGGTTGGGGGAGGGGACCGCCGCGTTGTCACCACTGCCGTGTAGGAGATCGGAGGGTGTCTGCTGGGGCCACAGCACCAGAGCTGCCGCTGGGGGCGGGCGCACCGGTCTGCTGACCACGTGCTGCCAGCCGTAACAGTTAAGCTGTGTCAGCTGTTCGGGCTCAGCTGCGGTGTGGCGGGCAGCGTCTCTCGCTCCACGCCGCTGCTTCTGACCCGGACCTCGCGGTGGTCTGGTTCTGACTCGCCGGGGCCACCCCGCGCTGCATGCCCGGTTCTCGGTGCCGTTGGGTGCTGAACTGATCCGATGTGACCCCGGCCGTCGGGCTTAACCCTGTGTGACCTTGACCTGACCCGGTGCCGGCAGGGAGGCGATGGACGGTCGCATCAGCTCCGTCTCTGTGTACGGCTACCAGAAGCGCTACGAGCCGGAAAAGTGCTACGTCTACATCCTTCGCGTGCAGCGCGAGAACATGACCGACCCCGTCTATCTATTCCGCTCCTACAAGGAGTTCATCGAGTTCGGCCAACGGCTGGCCATCGCCTTCCCCCTGGTGGACTTCTACAGGTGAGGCTGCCACTCCTCGAGCCTCTAACGACGCTGACAGGTGCCGGGATGCGACATGCCCATGCGGTGGCCGTGACTGGCGGCCGGTGTCGCCGCATTTAGCAATGTACGCCACCACACGCCCGGGAAAACTGCGCTCCGGCTGCTAGCTCATCGTGAGGACATCAGCGATATTTCATGGCGTTGGTCCATCTTATTGAGACCACATTCAGATTAAGATAATAGTTGTGGAGAAGACGCGACATAAACGGCTGGAAGCAAACCATTGTGATGGAGATTATAGTCGTGCTCCGGTGCTCGCCATGGCGGCCTTGCGGTACAAAACGAGCTAAACAAACAGACCGAGCAGTTGTGACTGAGGACTGTGTGTCCCGACTGAGGAGTATGTCCACGACCACAGCCTGCCGAAGGGCGCCCGGCTGGGCCGCTCTCACATCCAGCAAGTGGCCGAGTCCCGGCGGCGCAGCATCGAGACGTTCCTGCGCACCCTGTGGCAGCTGGCCGACGAGGTGCGACACTCGGACATCACGTACACCTTCCTGCACCCGCTGCTGCGCGACCAGCAGGAGGACAGCATCCACACCAAGAAGCTCAAGGGTGAGCCAGACATGCCTCGCTTAGGGAAAGACAGGCCAATTAGGACCGTTGGAAATGTCAGCTTTTTGTTTTCTTTGTGCTTTGTCTTGCCTATTTTGGTGTGGTGGAAGTGGCAGTCCAGCTCTCCATCCCAGTAGTCCCAGCCTGTGACACAAAAAACTTGTGAAATGTTTTAGTGAAAGTGTTTGTCACTCAAGATCTGTGTTTCTTGTAGGTGTATGCATCCCGTAGCGATGTGGTAAAGGACAGATCCTCTCACCTGTGAGAGACCGCTGGCTGCGACAGATCCTCCCAAATATGAGAGACCGCTGACTGCGGCCTGGGTACGGTGCAAGTGGCGCTGATACCTCCCAGTGATGTGCTGTTACGACAGCGGCTGTGCGTGGTACCTGTGTCTGCTGTCGATCCGTCGGCGATGGCCAGCGACACGGAACCGTGACCGTCCGGCGGTCCCCCGTCTGACCGTCCGGCGGTCATCTGCCTTACCATCCGGTGGTCCCCCGCCTGACTGCCCGGTGGTCCCCCGCCTGACCGTCCGGCGGTCATCTGCCTTACCATCCGGTGGTCCCCCGCCTGACCGTCCGGTGGTCCCCCGCCTGACCGTCCGGCGGTCCCCGCCAGAGCCCAAGCCGGCGGTGACCCGTAGCGGCCTGCACTACATCCGCGGTCAGCTGCAGCTCAGCTTCAGCTACCGGCGCAACACGTTCTCGGTCCTGGTTCACCATGCGAAGGACCTGGTCACACCCGATGGTCAGGAGCCCAACGCTTACGTCAAGATCTACCTGCTGCCCGACCAAAACAAGGTCACCAAGCGCAAGACCAAGGTGGTGCGCAAGAACAGTCACCCCAGCTTCATGGAGAACGTGAGCAGGGCAGTGGTGGTGTCGCGGCCGTCATGTTCGGTCCGAGGGAGGGTTGGACACGATCCCAGGGGATGTAAGCACTGGAGTGCGGGACTGTCGGCGCTAGACAGGTATAGAGTGGCAGGTGGTCGCGTACCGCGGCATGTGGTCACAGTTTAAGTAAGAGTCAGATCATGCAGACGCTGAGTTGTACGCTGTATGTAATTGAGTCCGTTGCCTTGTCTGAAGGTTGCGTGCCAGTCGTCGGTGTCCGTCGTAAAGTGGTGCCTTGTCTGCATAGATTGTGTGTGGGATGCCTTCCTGTTGTCAGACATTCTCGGCTGTCTGTCGTCGGTGCCGTCGGTGCTTCGTCATCGTGTACTGGAGGCCGTCGTTTTTAAAGGCGGTGGCGCTATGTTACGGCTGTCCTGGTCTTGACAGATCGTGTACCGGATGCCTCTGTTTGCGTGTTACGGCTGCCCTCGTCTTGACAGATCGTGTGTCGGATGCCTCTGTTTGCGTGTTACGGCTGTCCTCGTCTTGACAGATCGTGTACCGGATGCCGCTGGCGGCGATCGAGTGCCGGTCGCTGCAGGCGTCCATCTGGCACCAAGACCACCTGCAGGAGAACGACTTCCTCGGCGCCGTGGTCGTCCGGTTGGCGGACTTCGACCTGAGCCAGGAGACGCGCCAGTGGTACAATTTGACCAACTTCCACCGCTGACCGACGCCCGGCCGCCAGCGGCACTCGGAGGCTAGGGGCGCCATCTCGCGGCCGCCGCTAACCGGCGCGTGTCCAGACGTCAGCAGCGCCCGGACGCCTTCTGGTTGGCGCGCGCCCGGCCGACAACAGTCCAGGGCGTGATGCCTGGTCGGCTGAGAGTGACCTCTGGGGGAAAGAGCCGTGCGGGGGCGGCGGCAGGATCGGCGGCCGCTGCTGACAGGGCTGGAGCGGCGGGACCGGCCCCGGGTGTCGCGCGAACACTGACCGCGTCTCGCCGCACCCAGGCTCGCCGCCAGAGAGGCTAGCGGCCCGGCGGCGCCGCGCGCTCTGGCGGCGCAGCGCGTGCTCGTCACCTGGGTCGGCTGACAGGGTGGCGCGTGAGGGAGTCACCGTGGAGACTGCTGGTCCGGCCTGGCGCGACCGGCCGACGGTGCTCCTGCCGGCACTGTCTGTGGGCAAGCACGCCCGGCTTTATGGAAACGGCTGGGACACGGGCTGGTCTTGTGTTTACCCAGTCGCTGTGTGTTTGCGTGTCGCTTGTTGACTGTTTATCGTGGATGCACTGTACATTCTCCATCTAGTCTGGACGGCTTGTGCTGAGAGGTAATTGACTTTGATTGTCTCGTGCATCAATCAGCTGGGCTCCTGTGAAGGCCGGCGACAGCCACTTCCAGAGCGGGACATTCCGCACCACCGCGGCTGGTTGTGCGCCCGTTCGCATCCTCACCCTCTGCCGTTGTGGTTCTGCCGGCCGACGTGGACATGTAATGGGACATTCCGTGCGTTGTCACTGGGCTGACCGCGCGGCCGCTCAGGGCACCTCCCCTCCTGGGAGAGTCCACCTGTCGTAGACGGTCGCGCACTCAGGGCACCTCCCCTCCTGGGAGAGTCCACCTGTCGTAGACGGTCGCGCACGCCCAGCTTGTTGGGCCTCTGGCGAAGGCCCTGCAGGAGAGAAGTACATGAAGTATCAGCCATGTCCACGCTTATTCTGTGGTGGTGCAGGGGGGGGGGGGGGGCGGAAGGGTGGGGAGGGGTGGCATGACAGTCCCGCTCCTGTCTAAGCACAAATCCCGTTCGGCCGCGGTGTGGATATCGCGGCCCCTGAGCCGGACCGACCGTTGTCAGGACCGGCGACGCCCGCACGGCTCATCGTCTGTCTGTGATCAGAGCGAAACACAAAACCAAATTAACTCCGGCTGGATGTCGCGGGTGTGGGTGCGACCGATGGCGGATTGGAGGAGCTACCGGTGCGCACGGAGCTGATTGGTAGGGTCGCTGTCGTGTACGGAGCTGATTGGTGGAACGCCTCGTCCATGGCAGGTGGATCGAACACCGGATACGCAGACACCTGGGAACTGTGGCGGGGCTGCACTGGTCCCTGACATTGAACGTTGACGTTGACGTTGTAATTAGGATGGTAGTAGAGATTCGGGCCTTACGCAAACGCCGTCAGTATTTATGGCCATGGCTAATAGCAAATGTCGCGATATATGTGTAAACTGCATTCCATAGAGGAGGTGCGTGAGTGACTGGCGTGGCTGTGATTGTATGGGTGGGTGGGTGCATGGCTGAGTGTGTCTTTGTGTCGGTGCGTGGCTGGAGTAACTGTGAGTGAGTGAGTGGGTGAGTGTGCGCGTACGTGTGTGTGTGTGTGTGTGTGTGTGTGTGTGTGTGTGTGTGTGTGTGTGTGTGTGTGTGTGTGTGTGTGTGTGTGTGTGTGTGTGTGTGTGTGTGTGTGTGTGTGTGTGTGTGTGTGTGTGTGTGTGTGTGTGTATGTGTGTGTGTGTGTGTGTGTGTGTGCGTATATATGTGTGCATGTGTGTGCGCGTGTACGTGTGTACGTGTGTGTGTGTGTGTGTATGTGTGCGTGCGTGCGTGTGTGGCTGCTGCTGATGTAACCTAGTCGTGTCCAGGGCGAGGGGGGGGGGGCGCCCCAGCTGCCTCACGGCGTCCTCCCGCCCCAGACGCTGGGGACAGCCGTTTTTGCACAGCTTTACCGTACCCGGAGTACGCACCAGCGGCGTGCGCACCTGTCCGGCGGTGTGTGCTGCCCAGGAGCGGGTCAGTCTCGGACCACAAGGCGATTCGCATCAGGGCTCCTTCCGCCTGCCCTTTTCTAAGCTAACGTTTCTACCGGTGTGGCAACGCAGTGCTGGGTGCATTGTTGTTACGTCGATGCTGGTGTAAATATACTGTATTTTCTCCGCTGTGGTGCCATGTGTGGTGGGTGTGGCCGACGGCGAAGTAGCTCGGACGGGGGGGGAGGGGCACGGGGAAGAGGCAGAGCTAGGACTCTCCCGTGATCCGCCCGCCGAGGGCGTGGGGAAGGTCGGCAGGGGCACAAGGAGGGCCACAACGGAGGCACCCGTCACGATGGCAACAGACCAGGGAGGTCAGCCCCTCACATTGGCAGGCCACGAGCCGCGAAGACCGCTTGTTGAGGCCCTGTGAGAGCAGACATCAACGAGGCCGTTTTCACCAAAATCCACAACTCCGTCGGTTTCTTTTAAAAAAACTTACCTACCTAGAATATTTAATGGTTATATGGTTGGCACGACGCGACTACGACTTGGCGCGACTACGTACGGTCTGACGCGACCACGACTTGACGCGACTATGACTTGAAGTGACTACGACTTTAAGTGGCTACGACTGTGGCTACGACTCGGCGCGACCACGACTACATAGAGCATTTGTGACCAACAGAAACTCCCTCGTAAATTTGTCATGTCTGTTTTTTATAGAAACTATCTTGGATTCTTCGCAGCGAAGGTCAGTGTCGCTGCTATCCAGTAAGCGAAGTAACTGATCAGATACTTTAAATATCAAGCCACAAAGAGGTGCTCCAAATCACACCAGACATCATACCTGCTGCCAGACGAACGATATGGCGCTTCTCGACGAAATGAGCACACGCACTAGCATTCCTGAGTGTTTATTCTTTGCATTCTGATGCGTTAACTTCTAGTGGAGTGCGCCTGGAACCCAGCAAACCCGTGCCTACAGCAACAGCTTGCGTAGCCTGGAATAGGCTGCTGACATGAAATTGTAGCAGCCCCTGCTTATTGTTTGGGGTTGACGTGTCTATGGCTCCATCCCAACACTGCAAGAAGCGATCACGACACTATTAAAGTATGCTTAATTCCACCCAGGCTGGCCAGACCGCTGATGTTAGTCTCGCCTGTCTCGATGGCATGGCATGGCGCCCAGCAGATGCACCAGGTCCATAGGCCCAAGGAAATGGCAGCTTGGAAGATCTGGGTGGTGGTTCAGCCTCCTGACCACAAGGGTCAGGCAGTCGCGAGCGTCGACCGGTCGTGATTCAATAAGTCTCTCATGCTGGCTAGTGGCCACAACACTGGTTGATAGGATTTCAAATTTCGGGATCTTAGCGCGGCTACGCAGCAGTCGTGTCTGTACTGTTTGTCATTACGGTTTCCATTACCAAAGTACCGCCAGGTGGCAGGACTGCGGTCTGCGTACAGGCGGCATCAGCAGTAAGAGCAAGAGGTTTATCGAGGACTCGCCGCACTGGTTTATTTACATGGGATTCTGATCACAGCGAATATATTGCCAAAAACATGGCGATTGATCTCCCATACGCATTCGCGAGGCGTGTAAGATAATGCACGGTTTTGGACGTGTTGCGAGCGTCTGCTGTTATAGGCTTGATTACAAAATATAACAACCACACTCTGGCTGTGCTGTGCAACAACGCCCGATGCGAGACTCATACCACAAAAAACTCCCCACAATAGTGATGCAAGACTCATCCCACAAAATACTCCCCACAATAGTGTAAGAATAGCGTGTTTCTCTCCATATTTTTATAATTTAACAGGACTGATGCCACTCACATGCTAACTTAATCACCTTCCATTAAAACAGTTTCAGCGCCACCAGAACATCTTTTCCTACGACGACAAAGTGGAGGAGCAGGCCTACGCACTGCACGAGGACACTTCACCTCCTTCTTGAATCACACCGCACGAGGACATTTCACCTCCCTCTTGAATCACACCGCACGAGGACACTTCACCTCCTTCTTGAATCACACTGCACGTAGGGCACGCCGGGCACTCTGTCTTTGGGTACGGCCGCCGTGGCGGCGGGGTGGGGGTGACGCCCCAGACTGCCGGCCGAGGACGGCACTGCGGTCACGTCGGCTGCAGCTTTTGGAAGGTGCTGGCCATCGCCAGGACCCGCGAGCTGCGCGGCGCCAGAGGCCGTCCCGGCACCAGCGTTTCGGGCTGCAGGGCACAGGCGAAATGTCATACAACGGCCGGTGCGAGCCACACAGGCTAGACAAGCTGGCGAGTACATGCAGTGATTCTCCGACAAACGACGGGCGTCACCGCCAGAATGGCTCATCGGTAATTGCGGGACTATCGCGCTGGCTAGGATTTCGGCAAGGTATTATCAAAACCATACGAACGACAAACAGGTCAGATATTTCAACAAGATGCTACCTCAATGATGAGCTCCTTCGGGCTGCTTTTGCGCAGGTTCTGCTGTTCCCGTTGTTCGCGCTGCTCACGGCGCTCCCGGACCGTCTGTTTCAGCCAGTCGGCGGTAGAGGCGCTGTCGTCGTCCAGCGGCGACACGCGACGGTTCTCGCTGTTCTGGCGTGCCACGACGGCGGCCCGCGGCGCGTCGAGCCCGCGCGGTGACTCAGCGGCGACAGTGACGCCCTCCTCTTTGGCGGCCGCCGGCCGCGGCTGAGTGGGCGGAGCAGGCACTGACTTCCGCGGCCAGGCTGGGTAGCTTGAGCCGGGGGAGGCCGGCGAGACCGTCTCTGCCGGCTCTCTGCTGCTCGGCGCTCGGAGTGCGCCGTCAGAGCGTTGGGCCCAGGGCGGGCGAGACACGGGCGGGGGGACGGGCAGCTCCTCCGTGTCCACCGCCGACTTCTCGTTCTCCTTGTATTCGGTCACCGTGTGAGGAGGGTCGTCTGAAGATGCCTCCACAGTATGGAGCGGAGCTTCATCTGAGCCGATCCTCTTCAAGGACCGCCGCTTGAACACCTTGAGCAGCTCCGACTCGTCGGAGGACGAGACCGTCTTCTTTCTGAGTACGACCGGCTCCGAGTCGTCCGCCTCGCGCTGGCTCTGCCGTCCCAGCGACTGGTGCCGCTCCGGCTCCACACCGGGCAGTGCAGACGCAGAGCTTCCCGGCGCCTTACCCACCGGCTTGGCATCTTCCGGCGGAGAGGGCGGCTTAGTCACGGACGTAGTGCTCTTCCGTTCCGCCGGGCGGTCTTCGGCGTTCTCGTTGGGCCGTTCACCGGGGAGCGGGCTGTGTGTCCGGGCCGGCTCCTCTTCGCGCGCTCCGTCGGCTGCACCGTTCGGCGTCGGCTTCTTGGCGACGGGCGGCTCCACCACGGCGGCGGGCCCGGCTCCGGCCTGTTCCCTACGCTTTGGCACCACCAACTGCGTGGTCGTTGCCAGTGGCGCCTCCACCTTCTGCAACTGAATCTTCATGAATTCGGGCATGCCGCCGTCCTCGGCTGCCACGGTTCGGTGCTGCATCGGCGGCGAGGACCTCTTCGGCAACGGGGTGATATGGGCGCTGTCAGTTGCGCGGTTTGTGTGATCCTTCTCGATGTGGTCGGTGAAACCTGCGATGTGCGAAGGGCTCTCCGGGGGAGCGACAGTGTTGTTTGTCGCTGCCACGTGTCCACCGTTTTTGGTTCGCGCCTGTTGGTTTACCTTGACTTCGTGTTGGGAAGCAAGCGTCGGTTCTTGCTCGTCCCTTTTTGGGCGGATTTCATCGATCGCGTTCGCCACGCCCTCAGGGCGGCTGACTTCTCCAGCACCTTCGCTCTTGGTATTGTCCCTCGCGCTCTCAACGGCGTCAATCGAGACGCCATCTTGATCACTCTCAGTGGTGACATCCCTGGCGACGTCTTTCACGAGTTCAATAATGTTGACCTCGACCGGCTCCGGCGCGAGGCTCCTGCTGTTCTCACACGTTGCCTTTTCGCTGCAGACCGGAGCTGGGCCATCGGCGGGGCGGGGCGCCGGCTCGCCGAAGGGGGCCGAGCGACGCCGCACCGCCGGCCGCGGCGCCGCCGAGACCAGCAGCGCGGCCGAGTCGAGAGAGCGCGGGCCCGAGTCGGTCGGCTCGGCGACGCCCACGCTGCGCAGCACCACGCCGAAGTCGGCCGGCCCGGCGCAGGAGGAGGCGGCTGGCTCGCCCGGCTGGTACGAGCGCCGCTCAGCGGCAGCGACCGCGGTCGGCACGGGGGCAGGTGGCGGCGGGTCCGCGCAACTGACCGGGCGACGAGCCTGGAAGCGCGGCCGACCGCGCGCCGGCCGCAGCACCACCGGCTCAGCCGAGTCTTCGGACCGCGCTTGTGTCCCGTCCAGCTCCTCTTTCACCCAGGGCGGAGTCTTACGGAGCTCCTCTTTAGCCGGCGGCGATGTCTTGCGGAAATCCTCTTTCACCCACGACGGTGTTTTACGGAGCTCATCCGCTTGAGGAAGTGCCTTTCGAAGCTCTTCTTTAACCCAGGATGGAGTCCTACAGGATTCCTCTTCAGCCGGAGGCGATGGCTTGCGGTGCTCTTCCTTGATCCAGGACGGAGTCTTGAGGGATTCCCTATCCACCTCTGGCGATGTCTTCCGGAGCTCTTCTTTAGCCCTAGGCGGAGTCTTATTGGCATCTTCTGTAGCTAGCGGCAGTGTCTTTTGCGCACTGTCTTTGGCCCACTGCGGGGTCTTCCGCACCATAGCCTCTTCCCCAGGCTGGGTCTCTCGGAGCTCCTTCTCCGACCCGGGCGGCGTTTGCCCGTGAGAGCCCAGCCGGGCCTGCGGCTGCCCGTCCCGGAACAGCTCAGGCGTCTTCCGACGTCGACGCAGCACGGGAGGCGACTCGTCTTCCTCCTCAGCCTCCACTCCTCCTCCAACATCACACTTCTGCACAGTCTCATCACACGAGGACGTGCGTACAGGGGCTGCGTCCTCCATCTGCGGGATGGGCTTCGGCACATTCCCGTCCTCTGGGGGAGATTCGGTTGGGGCATCGTGTTCTGGCGCGGGGCGGGGCAGGCCCTCTCGTTGGGAGGCGCTCCGTCCGCTGTCCTCCTGCGCCAAGTCGCGCGGTGCCCGCTCCTCCGGTCGAGCCTCGCCAGTCTCACTGGACGGCGCACCCTCCTGCCATGCCGCCGAAGGCGCGGTGTGTTCAGCGTGGCGTGTCGACCAGGGCACGACGGTGACGTCACTGGTGCCGGCTGCAGCGGCGACAGGCGCTGTCCGCAAGGCACCGGCCGGCGGCGGCGGTCCCGGCCGGGCCGGCGCGCCTGCCGCCGCCGCAACAGGCTCTGGCTGCGGCCGGGTGCGCACCGCCTGCTCCGCCGGCGCCGGCGCCTCCCGTCCAGCGCTCTTGCGCTTCCTGCCACTGCGCCGCGAGCCGAAGAGCCGGCTAAACAGGCCCTCCGACTTATTGTCCGCCGGCTCGGCAGCGTCGCGCGGCCACAGTTTGCGCGAGAAGTCGCGCAGCCGGCCATCAGTCAGGGTGGAGCGCGACCGCTGCACAGGGGCCGGACGGTCCGGCTCGGACGGTCCGGACGGCTCGGACGGCGGCGGCGCGCGGCTCCGGTCCGGACGGGGCGACGACGGGCGCCGCCCGCCTGCCAGACAGGGAGGGTTAGCCCCTGTCGCGGAGAGTGCGGGGCGCAGCAGCTCACGATCATCGTACGCCGACGCAGTAACGGTACTCGGCTATCGGAGCGTCGTGGCTCGTGGTGTCGTGGCCGCCCGTCGTGGCCCAGTTCTCAGAGGTGTATTGGTGTCAACATCGATCCTCAAGGATTACACGTCACGACAGTCTGGCCGCGACAGTCAAGATAATGTCAGAAACGTTCCAGAAATGGTCATGTTGAACTTAGTGCACAAAACTGTACGCGATTTTCGAGGCCAAGGCACTGTGATTTGGTCTAACTGTATGGCTGTCTCATGCAAGATCAGCAATCATTTCACGTTTGATAGTTTTATCAGCTCACGTTATCGTTTCCACTAGCACCGATATAATCCAAGCCATATGGTGGGAGCGAGTGGATACATGCTATCGCACATGCATGGCGAGAGGTCAACACATTTTATGACAAGTATGACTGATGTTTATGCCCTACGTAAATAAGGAAGGAACAGAAACCGCGTTAATGAACACAACATTGTCATGGTTCCGGAGGTCTCTAATGACCACGGCACTAGTCCATGGGCTCGCCACGGACCGGGCCGACGCGGCAGACCTGGATCGGCCGGCGCCGCCGGCTGCTGACGCGGCTCCTCCTCCAGGGTGGCGGGCAGGCCGGCCGCCGGCCTCCGCCGGTGCCGCGGCGCGCCGTGCGCCCGCCGCGGACGCACTGCGATCCGGTGCTTGGCGGCCGCGTGGCTGAGCGGGCCGGCCGCCTCCGGCTCGCGCGACTCTGCCGGAGGCGATGGCGCCGCGTCAGCGCCGGCCGCTACCTGCCCTTGTTTGGACATGGGCCAGCTACTCGGCGCGGTTCAAGTGGCAGGTCTCAATCTCAGCAGATTATGATCGGTCACCTTTGACAAACTTCAGTTATTGACGCCGGTTATACACGACAAAAACCAATACGCACCTATCGGAATGAGAATTTTAGCAAATAGAGTACAGATTCAGGCCATGCTGCGTGTAAAGTCAGCTGACTGTCACGCCCTCTCACCATGGTCGCGACCAAGGGACAGCTTGGAGGAGTGTGCCGAAAGAGGGCCGAATATGTCGTCATCGGTGCCGGTGCCCGAGCTGTAGATGGACAGCATGGAGCCATCGCTGCACGATCCTCCGCACTTTCCAGACGCATCCTGACAGAGCAAGGGTGTGTCGTGACCCACAAGGTCCACAGGCATACATAAAGCACGCGACCGGCACAAACAACGGTCTAGCCAACGAGAGGAAATTTTGAAACAATTCAACCATCCATGAAATGTCGCACGCAGGATATTGGCAGAGAGCGTGACTGATGCCGGAGGATAGAGCGTGACTGATGCCGGAGGATAGAGCGTGACTGATGCCGGAGGATAGAGCGTGACTGATGCCGGAGGATAGAGCGTGACTGATGCCAGAGGATAGAGCGTGACTGATGCCGGAGGATAGAGCGTGACTGATGCGAGAGGCGGGGCCGGTGCCGCTGAATAAGGCGGAAACATAGCGCTGCGGTGTTGACACCTGCTGTCACACCCGGTCTGTCCGCGCGCGCCGCCCGAGATACTCCGGTTGGGGACCCCCGGCCGCTATTGGGACGTGGCTGACCAGGATCAAGAGCACATTCGCGGTAAGAGGAGGACCAAAAGTGAGCGAACATAAACCGAAAATGAGGCACAACATGACGCACATATGCCCAGATTTATTTTCGAACAATACGGTAAAATATTAGCGAAGAACAAACTAACTTCATATCGTGCATCGCTTATGTTCATTGGTAGGGTCGATGCGTTTAAATTTGATGCAATATGAATTAAATGGGAGCTAATTTCCCGTGAAACAGACTTTTTTAACGGCCGAATCAGGGCTGAAACTGTTTGGGCAAGCTGAGTATGCAAAGGAACCGTTTGGACTCGCCAATGGGTGGCATGCAACGTGATCAATAATGAAAGCGTTTTGGATTGTACCAGCAGTCTTCAACTATTCCTTACGCAGAGCACTCAATGTCGTTTTTTAAGTCCATAACGTCCAGATGAACAATAAGATACCTACTAGAACCACTGACGATGTGTCTGACTAGGTGTTTAAACTTCATGTCTGTTAGGCTGACACATCCTCTGAACCTGCCATCGCAGTGTAGCTACTGAACACGCTCGGCGCTATTCGACTTCGAAGTCGGAGTCAGCGGAGTGTAGCTACTGAACACGCCCGGCGCTGTCCGGCTTCAGAGTCGGAACTATCGTAGTCTCTCATGCGCAGTCCAACTTCAGAGTCATAGTCAGCGGAGTGTAACTACTGAACACGCTCGGCGCTGTTCGGCTTCAGAATCGGAACTATCGTGGTCTCTCATGCACTGTTGATCCCAGTCGAAGCCGACCGGTGAAGCGAAAGGGAAGCGAGACCTTTCAACGCGTCTTGAACGAGAACATGATGCTTACAAGATGCGCTCCTAATAGTACCTAAAACGGCGACCAAAAACATACGTCGCGAGCCAGATCGCTTGTCTCCTTACCACTCGTATAGAGTTGCCATTCAACGCCTCCAAGGTCTGCAGATAGGGCCGGCCACGGGATTTATCTGCAGACAACGTCTGCTACACTTGTCTGCTGTCTACTGTCGTCTGCTACACAAGTCTGTTGAGAAAGTGTAGCGGACCACGTCTTGACCTAAAGTCTGTCGAGAGAGTGTAGCGGACAACGTCTGATAAAAAGTCTGCTGAGAAAGTGTAAAAAACCACGTTCGATCTAACGTCTGTTGGGAGAGTGTAGCGGACCACGCCTGACCAAAAGTCTGCCGAGAAAATGTAACAGACCACATGTCGACTTAAGGCTTGCCGGAAGAGAGAAACAAACCACGTCTTGGCCTAAAGTCCGTCGAGAGTGTCACGATCCACGTGTCGACTGAAGGTCTGTCGAAAGAGAAAAACGAACCCCGTCTTGGCCTAAAGTCTGTCGGGAGAGTGTAACGGTCCACGTCTCGGCTCGCCCAAGCACCCACGGCTTCCAATCACGTGTCCGTAATGAGTTTTCCAGCATCTGGCGCGCCGGTGCGGCCCGGTTGTTCACCCTGCCCGGCTAGTGGGTCTCCGTCTGCACTAGCTGCTGGCACGGGCCGACCAGGAGCGCAGCGGCAATCCCGACAGGGGGCCACAGCGGAGGACTACGGCAGGGTACAGCTGCAGGGAACCACAGCGGAGGGTTACGGCAGGGTACAGCTGCAGGGAACCACAGCGGAGGGTTATGGCAGGGTACAGCTGCAGGGAACCACAGCGGAGGGTTACGACAGGGTACAGCTGCAGGGAACCACAGCAGAGGGTTACGACGGGGTACAGCTGCAGGGAACCACAGCGGAGAGTTACGGCAGGGTACAGCTG